CAGCGGCTTGTGAGCCGAGCAGCAGCTGCAGATGACTCAAACTGCTGTTTATCGCTCATACAAATGCCCTCCCATAGAGTGTCAATGAAGAAATGCGCGCGCTACCGTGCGCAACCTGGCTTTATGGAGCACAGACCAGCGCCTTCCAAAGGATTCTGCAAGAAATTCCTAGAAAAGCGCCTCTAGCAGGAGGAGCGGCAATTAGAGTGGACGGCGTCTCCCACGGCAGGTATGGCAGAGCATAGCTGCTTTGCATCAAAACAACCTTCAGTCAAAAAATTTGTAACCCCACCATCCTACAAGGAGCAGTAGTAGCAAATAGTATTTGCTACCGCTGCTCTGCGCTTTGAAGCCGCAGTGAAACGTAAACGCAGAGCAGCGGATCCCCACAGTAGCACCATAAGGTAGCCCATTGTATTCGCTACCTTATGGCATTTATTTTGGGCCATTTCGAATTGAATTCACTGACTAATTAAAGATTTTTATGTAAGCATTAGTCTGGTGCATGTATAAAGACACAATAAAAAGAGCCAATGACTTGGTTTAGATTGATAAAGTGTACTCTGAGGATCCTAAATTAGTGGAGAAAATTAAGGTTGAAATAACATTTTAAAATTTCGCGTCGAAATCTTCACGCATGACATTAGAAATGTCCAAGGCTATATTTTGTATTTTCGTGACGGCTTGATGAAATTTTTTTAAACTACGTATGCGAGGTCGATGGCACCAACATAAGACATTGTACTTCAATTTTATCAATTAGAAACTACGTAGGGCCCCGTAGATGCCTTCAAAGTTTATGATGTCATGGTGTTTGGTGCGGGGACCTCAAGGTGGCGCTTCCACTCGCATTTTCTTCTCGCGCGTTTTCTTGCCTATCAAGCATTGTGTCGCTGTAACAGTGGTGTTTTCGGGATTGTTAAGTAGTACTTAACTAATATGCAAAAAATAATTTTGCGTTTCAATGTCCCTTTACACATTCCATGTCGAAAAAGAACCGGCAGACTCCATGCCCTGTGGGAATCAATTTTGTGCGATGCAGTCAGCCAACAGCAGCCGGTGAAGCCTTCTCCTCTTTGAAGCAAGTGCATTACGAGGGGGATCGATGTCTCTGTGTAAGTTCAAAAATAAATTTTCATAATGATATCGCAGTGTTGCCACCTAAGAGACCAAAGCTATAAGTTATATTAAATCGATTAATTTGGTAGTCAGACTCACGTTTTCTGTTATATATATATACATTTTCTTTCTGCGATGATATAGATAACTTGAAATATTTGCTCTGGAGGTGCCTTGCGTTATACTGTGGGGAAGTCATCACGCCGTCCAAATGAGGGGGTGCTATTACAAGGACTCGAACAATAGTTATGGGCAGTCCAACGAGCCCGCGACACAGCAGAGAGACTTGGTTTTTCTGCTCCGACGTGAGAGCGGCCCGCAACGTGCTAAAGCGCATTTCGAAGGATTAACTAAAGTTCATCTATCAATCCGTTCATCAATCCATGTACAACTTAGTGAACTCAGCCTGGTTGAGAGGGAGGGAAATAAACAGTGCTATGCGAGTGCGCTTCTTTGCCGAGTTGTAATTAGCCCTGTACAAGTTAGTTTGAAAACACCTGAGGCCACCTAGCCCGGCTGTCAATATGATCTTAGTCCAGAAAACCATGGACCTTGACCATTCCCCCTGTCTGGTAAATCGAACTGTGGGACAAGCTTGAAAGGCGGGCTTCCCAGTGTACTCGAGTACACTCCCTTTTAGTAGGCACCACATTTGCTGAGAGCTACCATATCGTATAGAAGGAGAAGCAGGTTAAAGGAGTACTGATACATTTCTGAGACATCGCAAAAAAGATATTTTTTGTTTCTTTGGTATGCAGTAGTAACACTCTCCACATACCGGAGTCAGCCAACCTGTATCAAATATTTTCTTTGATTTTAATGTTTTCGTCACCGAGCATCAGCAGGCCAACCTCATTGCAATAAACATTATCTCAACAAGTCAACAGAAAACCACTGAGTTTGCGAACTCTGCATTCTTCAGAGTTTGCAATGCATGCAGCCTAAATCGCAGAAATCACTGTTAGGGTCACTGCAGACAATGCACTCATCGTTCTTGATGTGTACCACAAGCAGACGGCAGATCTTCCTCTAGTACGTTGAATATCGCTGTTAACCTGTGACATCCCACTGCTATGAAACGTCACTGAGAAGCCACCCCCTCGGTACCGAAGCCGAAAGTGTCTTTTTAAGGTAATGGTAATAAAAATATATGCACTGTTTTCCCAGGCACCACAGTACTTTTTATAGGTTTGTCGAAACCCATGTTCTTATTTAGAGGAACAATCCCAAAATATTCAAAATTAGTGTCCGTACTTCTTTATCGGAAACATAAGTGGGAACCTTCTTTAGCTGCCCCATTGCTGCACAACTAAGACATTAAAAACTTATGCACACTCATCGACTGATGGCGAATTGAACAGAGAGCAGCGGCGATGCTATTTCTTTACAATTAATGAAAATAGATTTTCTGAAACAGGAACAGCATTTGATTGGCCCATAAAATGTTTACTGGTTCCTGCCTGTGTTCGTGTTGCGAATTATGTCAATATCAAGCCAGACAGAGCAGAATGAAGCATGACAGAGTGCTGTAACGATCCCCTACTCAGTGATAGTCTTCCCTGCAGTGCAAAACACAGCAAAGCTCCCTGCATCACTAAGAACCTTCAGTGTGTGGTGAGACACGGACGACAACCTCTACAGCAAAAGCAAAGGACAAATTTTTATTATACAACTGATCGCTGTGTAGAAGTAAAATTTCCCCTCAGTTGATGGTTTTCCAGTGTGCAGCCAATGGAAAATGGGGCCCCCCCAGTAGACACACCTATGCACCCTACTCGCAGCGATCAGTTTTGATGATGCCTCTTCATTCGAGGTACTCCACTTCTCCATGCTCACCTGCCTATCAAGGACAGCCTGCCCACCTTTTGGTGCCTTATTGCGGACCCTGCTTCCCAGCTTCCCAGAGCCTGAGCAACACTTTCTACTCTCTCTTCTACCACATCTTTTGTCTACCCCAACGGTGCTGAGCCGTGCTCATGCAAGGGCTGGAGAAGATAGTGCCATCATTCCAGTTTATAGGTAAAGAATGACTTCTCTCTCTAGCATGCCCGGACAACTGAATGGTTACAATGCTCACACCAGGATAGGGGGTTTGAATCCCGCCTTATTAAAGTTTTTTTTTTCCAAACAATTTACCTCTTTGTACTCTTTCTCTCACCTCTAGTTGTTCTATGCTACTCTGGTCAAATCGGCATACACTATGGGAGAGAAGCAGAAGAGGAAGAAGAGTGTAAATGTAGCATAGAGTTTCCCACAGTACTTACTAGAGGGAACTCTGGCGCTGCGATCGTTCAGCCATCATGGGAGCGCACGGGTTTGCCTAAACTTCGTGCTTGCGGCCTCGAACACACTTGTCGCTCTGCTTATTGATGTATTTTGGCGTTTATTTCGAATAAAAGTATGGATCGTTGTCAGCTTCCCGACCCAATTTGAATTGGTGAGCCTACAAGATTTAGTTAGTGAAATGGGACTGCTGAACTTTGTCTGGCATCTAAACAGCTGTAGGTGACACACAGCTAAACGGAACCGAGGGAATAAAGCTTAGACAAATGCATTCACTACACAATTACTGGAAGGGCTTCTAGTAAGCTGTAGTATTATAAACATCACTCCTATGCTGGCAGAAGTGTTATGCATAGAAGGTACTCTTCCTTTTAGTGTATTATCTATTAGAAAACACAATAGAACATAGCACGTACCTGTTTCACAATGATAATAGCCTTTTGCTGATGGATTACAACCAGCGGCTGGCATAAACATCTTCGCTGATAAAAGGCTTGAATGAGCCAATGTTGATGATCAGAACTCTTGCCTCTATTACACGAGAGCAAGGTTAGTCCCATCGGTTATCCGCGTACCGTTGCCGGTTCTATTGGCTCACTACTGTCATGTGACCTATCACCACCATATCTCTTCACTTTCTATGTCCGTTGTAAACGTGTCCAGCAAAAAATATCGACTGTTTTGAATAAAATTTGCCGTCTTCAAAAAATTTCCAGAGCAGCAAACTTTTTAGTTACTTTTAACATGAAGCAATACTTGGAAGTAGGTCAGGGATCTCAAACGGACCTCAGTTAGTGGGCCACAGACACAAAATTTAGTTCCCCGATGGCCTGGGCTGATGAAGAAAGTAAAAACGGGCAGGGGAGGAGTATGGTATTGGAACCAATATCACCTAACATTGGCACTTGAAAGAAGGCCTGTCCATATCTCATACATGGATCATTTCTAAAGAGGATATATGGCATCAGGTTTCAAGAAAACATATCGATGCTGATCTCCAGTGTGACTGAAATCTGGACGCCGATTCTAAAATAGCATGGACTTATTGATTCATTATTATGTTTTGACACATAGTCACTTCATGAGATGCCTCATGAAGAAACATCGAGACCAGTCACGTCTGTGTAGCTCATGTAGATATTTATGAAAATAAAAAAAAATATATAGTGTATATAGATGGAATAAGCCATGTGTCGACTGCTAGCAAAAGGCATGTGGCTTGCAGGCCATGTGTTTGACACCCCTGATATAGGTTGTAAAAATTTTAAAAGGGTCCACTTTAGTGGGTAATCATAGAATGATCTTTGTACTCTATGTACTTGCATTACAGAAAGAAGCCCTAAATACTCCGTTTTTTTTTTTTTGCCTTCAGTGTGGCACATGTGCCCCTTTAGAACATCTGCCAACCATAGTACACCAAGCTCAAAGCAAGGCAAGACAACATGCCCCGCAGCTCCACCCGGCCAAAAAATCCTGGCTATGGCACTGTGCCAGCCCGCTCCTTGCCTTGTTTTTTCGTTCAACTACAAGTGGGTTTTCAAACAAAGTAATAATATTAATCCTAATTGAAGTGTTTCATCCACAGTAGGAAACAGTCAAAACATTACTTGTACTTTAATATGAGAGCTTAACACGTCTAATATGCAAAAAAAGGAGGGAAACAGATGGGAATGGCATACAGACAAGAAATAACTTACGTAAAGCTGACCGACATCAATGCCAAACAAGACACACGGAAACATCGGCATTGTAATTACGTTTCCTAAACTCCATTCCATACAAGACATACAACATTGAGGAGACAGGTGAGACTTCTTGCAGTAGATGCAGAAATAGTCCAATGGTTTTACTACCAGTAACATCATTTATTTTCGTCTCTAGACTGAGTAATGAATGCATACCCTTTGTGCCCCGGAAGTAAACAAAACCCGTTACACGACTGTCAGGACGTCGTTCTGTATTGCTTAGCATATTCTTTCATTTTCTGGCATTTGCTTTCCGACCCATTGCAATGCATTGTGCGCACGGGCTGGTGCTTGGCTGGCACAAGCGTTTATCAACAACGAAAGCCAAGCGCGAGATGCACGTATTCATAAAGCTCGTGCAAATTGTGAAGTTTCGGTTCGAAACAAATTCAAAGTGTATAGCGATTTGGTTTGAATAATTTCACATCAAATTCGAATAGTATATACCACATATAAAAATAACGAGCGTATCTGTCATTACCAAACTAAGGTACAATATATAACTTCCAAAATACATTTTAAATAATGAAACAAGGCCTGTGTGTATGCCACTCTTTTTGGCTCAAAAAAAGTGTAAACAACTTTAATAGTAGCAGGATTTCACTTTAGGTAGAATGCAAGTGGTGACCTTTATAAAATATGCTAAGTCGTAAAAGTTACTGTGCTTAGAGTATATAAGCCAGTAGAACAAGCTTTTAAACTGATTTGATGGGCATGGTGAATCGATGTAAGGGTAATATGTTTGTTTAACTTTTAGGTAAGATTTCGCGACTCAAGAATTTATTTTTACAGGCATTTTCATGGTTTAGCTTTCCTCCACTGCAGTGAAACTACTTTTACAAAGAGCCACATGCGGACTAATGTAAATTTTAATAAGTGCTTTCACGGCTCAGAACGCGCCCACTGCAGTGAAACAACCTTTGCAGGAATTACATGTGGACTAGTATATTTTGAAATACTTTGAAATTTTCAAGAATTTGAATTCGAACCGAAGCAAATTAGAATACTACTGTACTATTTGTTCAAATATTCAAAGCATCCGAATATTGGCACAAGCCTTGATATTACAAATCTTGCTGGCCAAACCTCTTGCATAGCCGATAGTTTTAGTGCGAGAACAGAACGACGACAAAGAGACAAGAAACACACGTCGTTCTCCTTTTTGTCTCTTTGTCTTCGCTCTGTTCTCGCGCTATAACTATCGTCATGTCATACCAACTAGCCCAAGCTGCCACACTTCTAACTTGCATAGCTTCTGCAGTGCTGAGCTGATGTGTTAAATGGAGTGCAATAGTAGCTTTAAGCACAGAGCGCTTGAATTTTTCGCGGTACTCATGCTTGGGCAATGGAGTGAGAGACAGTGCTGTGAACCCACAATTGCATTCCAGACTGGCCACTAGAATTCATCCTCTGACAAGTCACTAAAACATAAAAACATTTACCCCCATATTCCTGAATGCATTTTTGCTAGGCACTGCACGTCACAGATGGCAGTGCTATCCTCTGAATGAACTAGTCACCGCTCCTCAAAGTCAATCGAGAACAGTTCCTGCGCAAACGTATTGTAAATAAGTATTTTCTCTGTACCAGATGGCAATTCCTGCAGTAAAGATTTACTTGAGAAACACAGTGACTGAAGAATGTTATTGATGCACAATATTTGATTCAGACGAAAAGCAATGTGGCGCTGCACTCAGTAAAATCAAAGAGCTTTGACCTGAAGCCTGTTCACAAAAATGGCAGTTCGAGCCTAAAAGTGCCGCCTAAAAGATGCTATAAAGCATCCAAAACAGCCCACACTCCATTATACCTAAAGACACACATTACAGTCCACCAGCAATTTGAAATTTCGCCAGTAATCTCTAGAACAGTCACTGAGACCATCCCATCGACGCACAGCTGCTGCAAGTCATTTTTCACAAGCTCACTGCTGCACTTTGACGAAACTGTGAAGTGGCTTGCTCACTGAGCGACGAGACAAGCCAAGCCGAATCCCCGACGCTGGCAAATGGTCGCTCGAGAACTTGGGCACAGTCATGGGCACGCCACCTGCAGGAGCAGCTCGCTGCGGTAGAGGGCGTGAATCCACGCACGGTGTGGGCTTTGGCGCCGAAGTAAGGCGAGATGCTGTCCTCGCTACAGGTGGGGCTGCTGTCGCCAAGCTGGCCAGTGCACTTGACGCTTGTGCCTTGTTACGTGTCGTCGAAGTGTTCTTCGTAGTCGCCTGTGGTGGTGCGGCCAGTGCAGCGGCAGTTTTCCTGGCCCCTGCTCTTGCGGTAGCTGCATCAAAGTGCGTACGTTTCACTGGGAGTCCAAGGGCAGTCTAAGTGTACAGAAGTTTAAACAAGGTGCTACAATTCCATTCGCTTCTTAATCCACAAAATTTGTACTGAAAAAGTTCCAGGCAGTGTCAGTGCTGCTTGTAGTATCCAGTATCGAAATGAGTAAAGAAGCCAAGCTTGAGTCATCTGTTATGCTTAAAAGTTAACCAGTCAAATGGCACTGCATTTCAGTGTAGCAGACTGCTTAAGGTTACGTTTTCAGCGTATGAGAATGCTACAGCACTCTCACAAAACTAGCACTGATTGCTTTGCCTGACAGCGTGAGTAATCAAGCAAGCCTAGCGAGAGATAGTCGATGCTTCAGAAGTATATGACATTTAGAACATATTTAAAAGTGCCATATAATACTTCGTCATGCAGAAACGTTATGAAACGCCTGTTGAAGATCCTCAGTGTGGTGGGAGCTTCAAGTTGGACAACACTTAAACCTCCTTATAACAAGGTTATATCTGCCATGGAAATATTTCGTTATATTCAAAATAATTATTCATAAGACTACAGTATTCATTACAATGCTATTATTCACTTTGTTATAAACAATAGTTCGTTATATCCGAATTCACTGCATCGAGGTTTGATTGTAGGTTTTTTTTTTTTTCTTTTTTGACAGGACATGGCAGGAGGCGTAGATGGCATGACAATATATAAATAGAGCAGTTCCTTTGTTCAGTTTATGCTACGTATTATAGTCCTGCTATACACATGCACATGGTTTTACCATGGTTTTAGCACATCGTTCTTGTCCAGTCGCAAGCACTGAACATTGCTGCAAAGGCAAAAAAGTGTCATTCAGTATCAACTGAGTTATTTAAAAAGCAATGCAGAATAGCACTGTCCACGTGAATGTTTGCTCAGGGCAACAGGCATATTGTGCAGGGCAATGGCATGATAGAAACAACAGGTAAAGACAGAAAACGGAGATGTTGAACTTTCAACTTCTACCACAGTAAAGTACAAAAAGACAGTGTACAAGAGTAGCTGCAGTAACAACAAAGTGAAACATCAACAAAAGATTAATTAGAAGATGAAATTATCAATGGGAGTATTGAACAAGAAATATTGCTGGAACGCAATAATCAATAAAATGACTGTTCTTCAACAAGGACTTCTACTTTGACAACCTAAAATACAGGAAAATCAAAGGATGATTAATAGGAACTTAGAAACTGGCAGAATTATAGCAATGACATTTTCCTTGAGACATAGGCGAGTACATGCAATAACATGAAGCACCCAACATGTTATATCTATATTCATCTATGCTACAACAACGTTGCAGTTGTTGAACAAAGAATTAGTCCATTGATACCTTTAGAAAAAAGTTCGTAGTCGGTTTTCATTAATTCTTTCCTTAATCTTTGGAGTTGCTTTTTTGCACTGTAATGACTTTGAATAAGAACGAGCAAGCCTGTTCTTCATGCTTTTTGATAAGGGCCTCAATGAATGGCCCACCCTTGACTGCCTTTCGTCTGCCGATGGCCCCTGATAAAATTAAAGCCCTCGTCAACCTCGTGGATCCCTTGGTCGAACATAATCTGCTTTTTCCATTTTGCTGTACTGCCCTCTGGCATTTTGGTAGGGGCCAAGAGAACTGGCACTGCTAGAATGATGGCCTCCGAGACCAGGAGTCATTTTGTGACTTTTCCGAGGAAGGGCGCATGCACCGCAGCATCATGGGAAAGGCTGATTGATCGTGACCTGCTGATATCTCTAAATTGACCAAAGGGGTGGAGCCAACACCTGAGAAAGAAATAACGTAAAATGTGACTACGCATCACTCACAGGCTCGTTCCTTAGGAGCGGCTGGAAGCTTCTTCGTCACAGGTTCTTTGCGAGACCGTGAGACCTTGGCCTTTGAGGGGGCAAACTCCTCGTCGTCGTCACTGCCGCTGTAGTCTTCGTCCGATGCATCCTTCTCGTCCTCCTCACCTTCGGAGCTGTCTTCCTGCTCTGGCTGGTAGTCTTCTTCCTCCTTGTCCCCTGCAGCTGTGCAGAAAACAGGGCCATTGCAGAAGAGCTGAAATTTTCCGCACCAGCACTACATTTACTCGCACACACTCACTGGCAGCCAAAAGACTAATGAGCAGATGCAAACAAGAACGCTAGAAGAAAGGTGAGACCACGCTCGACCTTTTATGTCACACAGGCCCAAGCTGTACTGGTCAGTGGAGTACCCTTATAGCCAGTGATAAGTCGCACTGTTTCCGCCCTTTGTGCGCCCCTCAGCACCAAAGGCGAATTACAGCTAGCTATTCGTTTTAGCTTTGATCTTTAGCTCTAAAAGGAAAGTCAGCAAAAGCAAGCATAGTTCTGCATCATTTCCCTGCATTTCAGCTGGCAATGGTGCTGCAGCAGTTACTGCAGCATTGCTGAAGACTCAATTTGATTCAGAGAATGAGTGAAGCTTTTCTGAAGACCTGGTATTTTCTAACAGAGTGATCGCAACTCAGTCTGTCAGTACAAGATGGCTTCAGGGTAGAATGATGATGCATCGGGTCATGCTTCTGCCAGCAAGAAGAAATGTGAAGGCCCTTCCCAGTTTGCTAAAATGTATCAGTATGACTTAGTACAGCTGTCAACACAGTTAACTTGATTTCTCCGCTACAAGGCCTCAACTGGCCAGCACCACCAAGGGCACTGTACGTTTGCAGCAGCTAACGATGGATGAAGCATGGGTATATTTCACTCACTTGGCAGGTCTGCGTTTTCACATGCGTTCATGAAATTCATCACAATATATGCACATCTTAGCAATGAACTACAGCGTCCGACAGCTCACACAGTCTTAGAGTTTAAAATCACAGGTGGTGCACAAAAGAAATGATACATTGGAAAAGCAGAAAAAACGCAGGTTGACGGCCTTTGTGAAAGTTGCACAATGAATGTGAAAGAAGATGGTGTAGTTCATACTCTGATTCTTGATCTTTAGACGCATGAATGCGTCGCACCCATGCATCTTTCTTGCTCAGGACATGCTTGGAATATTTGAGCTAAGACACTGCATCCTCAATGCGGCATGCACTCAACAGGAAGGTGAACACTAAATAGACCTTTTCGTAAATACGCCACACCTGACTGTGCGCTCTTTGTCAGTTTCGACGGAGCTCTAGGATAGAATATGCCAGGTTTAGGACAAAAGGGGGGGGGAAGGGTGTGACTCGATACATGTGCCCATGTTGACCCATGCATTGTGTCCGTGCCTGGTACCAGATGGCTACAACTCACCACCTCCGAAGTCTCTGCGAATGAATGCACTCCTGCCTTGCTTTGCAAAGGTACGGCAAGTGACTTCGGCGTTGTAATGAGTGACCCGATGACCGGTTGGATAAACGGCCTGACATGGCTTCTGCACCAAGGCGGACGCTAGCCCATACCGCCCGGACTTCAGTAGCCGGTAACAAGAAATATCACTTGTCAGCGCTAAAAGCTGATGATTGGAAGTTACATCCACTTAACTGTAGTAGCACTGTCTTCAACGAACATTATGATGGCTGGCCTGAGAAACAAGAAGGACATGCAGGACTGAAAGTTTCGAGCAACCACACCAAGCGTTCTCACTTACTCTGTTGCATACAATAGATGAAATGCTGTAGAGGCTGGCGAGACTCGGAAAAAATTTGTTTACGGCACCAAATATGTAGGTCATTGTTTTTACCGCTGTTTCCATTGCTTTCTTTTCGGGATTAGCAACACAGGATGATTCGCACCTTAATTAGAAATAAACAAACTTCATTATGTGGCCTTTAGTACGCTGTTTCACATGACCTGACGTTTTTTTTTTCAGAATTTCATTTGTTGCCACTAGCGATGCCTCGCGCACTGGCTTGTGCTCGGCCCACACGAGCATTCGTAACCCTGAAAACTGAAGAAATCAAAACAAACTTGCGGATTTATTCATTTTGCTCATCAAACTTCTTGCATTGCTTCAACAGCAGTGCACTTGATGTGTGAAACTGAGTGTCATGAGGCCTGCCGAGGCATCACAACAACTTGGCTGCCAGCAGCGGCCTTCTATATTAGGCAGATAAGTACACTGTATATGTACTTGCTACAGCGGCTTGGTGTCATTGCTGCCCTTAATACCATGTTCTAGCTGGCTCCACTGGCTACATCAGCAGAATGCGACTTTAATTCTGAACCCTTCGTGCCCCCGAACCATGCTGCCAGCAGCACACATCCAATTTTCCTGCAATACGGGCGATGTAATGATTGCACATTGCCACTGTAGAGTACGGAAGCCACTGCAACGCGCGTATCATGGTCGATACCGCTTCATCTATCACGCGGTGAAGCATTTTACACACAAATGCACAACATGCCTACACAGACTAGCGCTTCCACGACCGTAATGACACAGCCACATGCACAGTGCACGGATATGTAACATGCGGGTTTGCTCACATCAATATATGAGTTTACATCGGTCCCTATAGGTACAGCACCTCTTTACACGAGACTAGTTTTCTTGGCGAGGGCGAAATTTACTCGATCGATGACCTGGCCTGGTGAGTTCAACTTCTTTGTTTCTGTGAAGTCAAGTTCCCTCTGACTTGTAATTCGACTAGCTGGCTGATGCTATAAAAGTTGCAACAAGCGGCCGCAATATTTCTTTGAGCTACAGCATACTGTAATCCTTGCTTTTTGAGAACTTGAGACCTCAAGACTTTCCGCAGACAAACAACCTACCTGGTGATGCTGACGGCTCGCTGGTTTCTGGGGCCGGCTCAGACTGCACAACCACCTCCCCAGCTAGCTCGAGAGTCTCCGGAAACCCGGCAACGTTGTTCTGCTCGATGACGATGTCTGCAGGCTTGCCTTCATTAGCTGTGCAAGTGAACATACGAGAATGACTGCAAGGTCGCCACGGTGGTAGTCATCAGTATATTTTTCAGACAACGGAGGAAACCGCAAAAAAATGTGATGCAATCGAGCATTTTGGAACTGCAATAATAAAAAAAGGAAAAGTGATTTCGTTCACTTTGCAAGGCCAGCAACAAGAAAACATTAAAGGTAATCTCTAAATTTTAGTACAAGATTTATGATTGATAAACTTTGAAGAGCAGAGCTATAGCTAGCAGCATTTTTTTTTTTTGACAGGCACTTTAAGGCAGTTGGAACTTAGCATGTTGTAGCATTATGCAGAATGAACATCCAACACGCAACAGCATACTACGGACAGCTTCAATGTTGTGTACACTGCCCAGCAAAAACCTGCATTGGTACCCGCAGGCTATTGCAGCTAAGCAGAGTGAATACATATGTAAAAGGCACACAGTTACCTTGCCCACCTCTACAAAGTAGTATTCACCTTTCCATAATTTCATGTCCCCAGAACACCGGGAATCTTTGCCCTCAATACAGTGTAGCGAGTTTATTTGCAAATGCAATAGTACAACAAAACTTTGCTGCTGCCCCTAATGAGGATGAAGGCAATAAGCTGAAGCTTCTGGAGGTACAAATGGTCAAGCGGTTGAGTTATACGCAATTTTTCTGAATGCATTCTCTAAAAAGTGTGCTACGTCACAGAGCGTCAGAAGCGAAACAGAGCAGCATCTTTTCCAACAGCGGCTGGATGCAGAGGTGCCCCTAAATGCTCTCCTTGCTTCTCTAGTGATCAAAAAGATGATGGGGTGACCCTAGCATGTGACATTGTGCCCACTATGCAGTGCAGTTCTGTATTCGTACTCGCCAGTTCCATGCATCAATGCCTGACACAGTGTTTATATTGTCAACTGTGTGGCAAGTTGCAGGCACTAGTACCTGTAAAAGTACTGCCACTAAGCATGACTTGTTTATCTAGCGAGCCATTCCAACTATTCAGGAAAAAGAGGTCACTGACAAGGCTGCAGAATTGTATGCTTTTTTTTTTCATATCTCACACGACAGGTTTGACAGTGCAAAGAAGATTTTGCTTTGAAACCTGAGGCTTGCAGCAACTCAAATTGGAAAATGGGTTGTACTACAGACTATATAATGCAAAGTAACAAACAACAGCTTACTAGTAGCCTTGGGAAAAGAAAAAGTTTGCAGTCAATGCATTCTGACAATAGTAACATGTGAGGAAAAAATTTATACTAGTTTATTAAAGAATGCAGCGTGCAAAGAGCAGTAAAATGGAAAATGAACACACAATGTAAAGTGATAGCAAGGCAATGGTGAGCATTAGAGGCAATGGGGATACCAACTATTGTGGTCGGTTTTAAGAGAAGAATAATGTTCAGAAAGCCAGGTAATGAGGAGGAAAAATAAATGCTAGGCTGTTATACTTAAAGAGTGTCTTAGAGGAAGAGAAAGGGAGTACTATCAATGTAGTATCGTTGATGACAAAGATTTAAGTAGAGCTGGAAAGTCTGTCAGTGTAAGATAGGGTTAGCTGGCGCAAAATTCCAGTAAGTTGGACGCTCGATTATTAAGAGACCACGTCATGCGGCGAAACTATACAGGCTGATGATGATGATGAACAGTACGAGATATAGGCAATTACCAGTACTACTGTAACACACTAACCATTCTTTTGACACTGGCCTTCTGAAGCTGATCCATTCTGTGATAGACGCAGAGCCGCTTCCAGGTCTCGCTGGAAGAGCTTCTCATCCAGAGATGCTCGCCTGCACCAACGGGAAGCAGACATCATTTCGGCAACTTTGGCATGAAACCCAAGAACTATAACGAAAGGGCACTGCACTGTACTGAATTACCCCCTCAAGCGCAATTATGACGAACTGTCTGCTAGTGTCTCAAATTCACACATAAAGCCAAGGCACTCGATGTTAAATTCCGAGAAATAGAATTAAGTAATACGTTGTTTAGTGCCAATTTCAGTATTCAACCATAATTAGCATGTAATTAGATATTCCATTATTCTTTGGTCAGTCATGTTCTGTTTTTACGCAGATCGAATCAAGCTGTTGGCTCGAAATGCAAGTGCAATTTGTTTTTTGGGGTATTCATATGAAGCAAAGAAAAATAACTCTTTTGACGTTGGTCCTGCAATGCTCATCGAACATTGTAGCACCATCACCAGAATGATCAGCTACAGCCCCAGACAGCACATTAGCGTTAAGCTAAGACACAGTGATGCAAAACGGAGAGGCGAGCGAGTTGGTACTGCTTTATTATGGCCTTGTGGAGTTTACTTCCTTGTCCTCATCTTTTTTTTTTCGCACTTCATTCACGCCATAATGAATCAAGGCATAGTGACTGCATAAAAGGTTTACTATGCGCAATGTATCTTGCCGTTTTTTGGGCACTAGTTCAAAAACTGGCAAAAGTCCACATATGAAGATGCTGCACCTCAAAAAAATAATGCTCATCATGCAGCACTGATAGCATGGCAGCACTTGAGTGACCTTTATAGTAGTACAACACCACAGTAATGCTGTGATGGTTCACACTAAGTATACATTGGACAGCTGATTTTTATGTGCTATTACTGGCAATCATTACACGAATGCATTCATCTCTTTAATCGGTGTACATTCTTGTATAAAAAACAAATTAATCAGAACAGTGCCAATGACTTCAGTTTCAGTTTATTTCGGACATAGTTACATGACATGAAATATGTCCACGAGGCAAGGCAAAAGGAGACTCGTATGTCTCCTGACGAGGCCATCACCACGGACTTACACGTCGGACAGCCAGGAGCAAAATCAGAGAAAATAAGTACAATGCTCATTGCACAACTTATATAAACAAAAAACGAACAGTAAAAAAACACATTCGGACAAAAATTATACAAAGTTTACATTGTTCAGGTTTAACAGTTTTATAAAGTTACATAAATATACAAAATTACATATTTTCGTGTTGAAAGCAAAATAATTGTAATTTCAAAGGCTTGTTTTTGGGCTTGTTTAGCCGTAGTAGAACACAGCCGTAAGTGCAGTCTTCCTGTCTGCATCGTTCAGGCACGTCGAACTTCAGTAATCAAAAATTTTACTTGCAGTCAATCAAGCTGTGTCGACAAATGTTTTTTGTATAGAATATTATCAGCGGGCGAAGTGCTACACTTACTCACAGTTTTTCATGTACACAGTAAAGGGGTCAATGAGTCTTTGTCTACAAAAACTGGAAAGTCCAATTTTCAGGAGATAATTTCCTAGCCGTACAACCGCGCAAGGCGCTCAAATTAAGCACACTTTTTGACTGAAATATAACTTCATTGAAACATCAGCTGGGATAACAACGATTCCATTCCAATTAGTGTTTGTTTCACTGTTCTAATTGTTCGAGCTGCATTCTGCCTACGTTACCACCAGCTCGGCCAGCTGTGAATGGTGGACGACAAGAATAGAATACCTATGAGCAAGAACAATGGCTGCGTCACTTTGACCCTGGCTGCCAGGAATACGAGTCATACTTCAAGCCTGGCACTCAGTGGCTTCAGCCTTGGTAGTGTGTCGCCTAGCCCGCGCAAAAACCCACCCTGTCTTCTGCTTCTGGCTGACAGTGCTAGAGCTTGCATCGCTGTCAGGCTTGGTTTTCTTCTCGGCTTTCTTGGGTGCCTCCTTGACAGCAGGCTTGGGGCGCTTAGACGGCGGTGCCTCGGTGGGCTTGAAGTCGTCATCTGCATTTCAGAGCAAGAATCAGCCTCAATACAATGCCATCAATGGCAGTTCTCACTTGTAAAACAGGTTGATTTTGAAAGTGCTTTTATGCAAAAGGAGTTTGGCATCAAGTAGAAGGCAACCCGATACTAAGACAGCAGCTCATTCTCAGGCATTTCTTTAATCCTCGGCATTGGAAAAAAACCAGGCAGCTGCGTAAGATATTCAGATCCTAACCAAATTTTCACTGCCATTGTGATTGAAAACTTTGCAAGCACAAGAATAAAAGCAATTATTCGGCAATCAGTTTGTTTGAAAAACATTACACAATTTAAGAAATATTCCAGATGCAACCTCTTGCTGTAAAAAGCATTGCAAGCAAAAACCCACTAACATGACAATGCCTAATAGTGTGAAAGTGGAGACATTCATCTCTCGGCACTTTAATTTTTGAACGGCTTTCCGACTTACTGATCTTTATTTCGAAACAGTAATATACAATAGCCAATCTCTTGAGGTGCACAAGCAATGCTTAAAGTTTCATTGTCAAAAATTTCATTGTCCTAAAAGAACATCAATGTTGTCATTAGTGATTATAATTTTAAACTGTAATCCTCGCGCATACATTTTTAACATCCCCAGTACACGAGCAAACTTAAGTGCACTTGAGTGCACTGGGTGTCACTTTAGTGACACAAGAAAAAGAGGGGCTGAGTCATCAGCATAACATATTACCTACAGGCACAAATTATGATTCACTGTTTACGAATGGGTCAAATTAACACAGAATGATTCAAGGGCACTCGGTATTACAATCCAAGAAAGAAAAAGAAGAACTGTGTTGTTTTGTGAGTTTCAGTCATTTATTGTAATAATATGAATAAAAGAATATTTAATTTTTCTGCAGTCAGTCATGTTCTATTTTGACATGAAAGTAGTATGTTTGACATTGGTGCTGAAGCAGACATTGAATGACCCATTCAAAATTGCAGTACCCTAACCAAAAGTATAGATTACAGTAATGCACAGCACATTGAATGAAGTTCACTCGAGACATTCTACCCATGGAGAAGGTTCCATTCATCTACTGAATATCTTCTCTTTTTTCCACAACTTGACACAATCGGCATAAACAATTGGCATACGTAAACGTAGACACTGCTGCTGAAGGGAATATATTTGTTATTTTAGGCAAAACTTCGCAAGTAATAACCCGCTGCAGTAATGAACGGCTTATAGAGCATGCTTCAGGCACAAAAACAATGGACACATCCACTGACCCGCATGCACTGTGGCATCCCCCTGACGGCCATGGACATATATGGCCTGAGAGTGTACACAGCTAACTTAATTTTTTGCTTATCATGCCAGGTATTGATGAACAACTAATGTTACTAACAGCAAAAAACAATAGTTTATATTACTTTATTAAAGCAAAAGCTCTAAGTTGCTTATAAAACGGGAAATTTGAGTGTCGGCAATGACAGTCCCACAGTCTTGGGGACAAGCGATGCAAAAAATCATTATTGTGGGATGGTGTCCCATCATTTGATGTCACCGTATTTTTTTCTTTATTGAATACTGCTGGCCAAGAACTGGTCCAAGCAGGACAGGTACAAGAGGCAGGATATAAACAAAAACACATGCGATAACATAAGAATATATCCCAAGAAATGGAATAAAAAATACGTACTAGCAGAACACTTAAAAGATAACATGGCAAAATATTACATAAAGTAGAAACAGAACACAAACTAACAGTGCATGTTTTAGCTCTAAACAATAGAAAGTTGGCTGAGATCAGTTAGATTGTTCCACTCTGACAAAGTACGTGGAAAAAAGAAAATGCACTGGTTTTGGAAATTATGAGGTTAAAGAATGGGCGTGATGATGTGTATGCCTAATGGACAGAGGAGATACTGAATAAATGAATAAATAAATAAATATGCGCTCGGGTCAAGGGCTAACTTGTGATTAACAAAAAGATAGAGAAAGTTATGGCGGTTCCTTTTTCGTCGTAATGAAGGTGTTTCAATGTTGTTAGCAGTCATGAGTTCCGTCCGTGAGTCCGTAATTTTGAACTTAAAGTAAACAAACCTAACAGCTTTTTTTTTTGTACTGTTTCGAGTTTCTTAATGTTAGATTTATTAAAGGGGTCCCACACTACGCCAGGGTATTCTAGTTTTGGTCGTATGTACGTAAAGTAACTAGGTAAGTAGTTTTATGTTAAAAGGAGAATTTTGAAGTTTATGTTTTAGAAAACACAGCTCACGGAGCGCAGAAGGCTATACGTTGTTTATGTGTAAGTTCCAAGACTTACTATAAAGTTATCAAGTTATACTATCAAGTTACTATCACGCCCAGATATTTGTAGTTGTTTACCTGATGTAATGATGATGAGCCGAGGTTATAAGTAAAATGAAGGGGTGTTTCTTAAATGAGTCATGCAAAGATAAACAGTTTTTTGTGTGTTCAGTGCCATATCATTGTCATTACACCCGTTTAGTATCTTATTAAGACCTAAGTTCACGTTCTATTGATCCTTAAAACAAGTAATTTGATGAAAGAGCACACAATTATCTGCAAATAGCCTTATTTGAGTTACTGGTAGTACTGAGTTTACAATATCGTTTACATAAATAAAAAGCAACAGCAGCCCCAGAACACTACCCTGCGGCATGGCTGATGTTACAGGAAGAGAGCTCAAATTGTTCCCATCTATTTAAATAAACTGTGAATGTTCTGTTAAATAGTGTTCAATCCAAGAAATGAATACGTCGGGTAGACTCATGTCCCTGAGTTCTGTATTATTTTGTGATGAACAGCTTTATTGAATGCCTTGCTAAAATCAAGGAGCATGACGTCCATTTGACCATTTTTATTCAGAGTTTCTGCAAATGAATGAACCACTGAGACTGAATGAGCTTATATTGAATAACCTTTTCTAAAGCCATGCTGAAAATTAGTCAGCACAGAGATTTGTTCGAGAAATCCCAAATTGCACTTAGATATTACATGTTCAAGCATTTTACATAATGGTGCTGTTAATAGAATAAGATGATAGTTTCCTAGAAGTAAATTGTTGCCTTTTTTAAAGACGGGAAAAACAAGAGCCCTCTTCCTATCACTGGGTAGTGTTGTACTCAACAGCGAACACTGAAAGAGCACAACGACAAAATGAGTAATACTTTCGGCATAACGGCAAAGAAAAACATTAGGGACATTGTCGGGACCACACGATGATTTAGTATTCAACTACGAAATCATTTTGAGAACACCAAAATAGGAGGTGAAGTCCATTTCATTAGACTAAAATACTCTTTGCTTAGGCATATGAAGACTTGCCTCAGCGAACATGCTATGGCATAATTTGTTAAAATGTTCCGCGATGAATTTCAAATCTGCAGCTGAGCTTCGATTGACTAATAGATGCGATACCTACTTTTTACTGTCGCTCAGGAAGTTCCAAAACTTCGTAGGATTGTTTTTTAAGAAGTTTGGCCGTGTTGTTTTAAAGTAAAAATTCTTTTATTTGTGCAAAGTGCTTTTCAAATTTATTTTAAGTGTATAAATGATAGATGATTCTTTTTCAGCCGTTTTAATTTACGTTTTAGATGGATGATTTTATGCGTAATCCATGGGGTGCTTTTAGCAATCTTTTCAGATTTGCTTGGTACTAATGATCTTATGCAGTGATGGCACATTTTTAATAAGTTGGTTCCATAGCTCGTCAACATTGCCCTCATTTTCAATAAACTCAATGTAACAACTTTCCATACACTGCACATTAGACACATCATTATATGTTGCATAATCCTTGAAGGTTCACGTGGTTGTGCAATTGTGATCGACTGAGTTGGATAAACGAATAGTAACACTTGCAAGACGTTGATCAGACAGGTCACTTTCAATTAGAACAGTATATTCATAAAAATCGTGGCTTAGGAATGCTGTCTAATTATGCACTTGAAGAACCTTATTAACCTCATTAATGACCATATGTCATCATATGGTGATTAATGAGAACTTACAGGCAATAATGCCAGGGAAAGTATAGGGGATGTTATTATAGGTATTTGTAATGCAAATGTAAAGCAAGAAAAGTGGATGAAAAAATAGCTTTCTCCACAAGTAGCACGGGAGCTTACGGCTGATCTCTGTTTTGCTTGCTCGCCTCATTCACAAGTTTAGAAAGTTTTACAAGCCCTGCCGTGGTGGTCTAGTGGCTAAGGTACTCGGCTGCAGTGGCTGCATTTCTGATGGAGGCGGGAATGTTCAGCGAACTGGGAGCGTGGGGGTAAACACATACACAAAGCAAAGAGGAGGCACACAGCACGAGCGCTCGTGCTGTGTGCCTCCTCTTTGCTTTGTGTCCGTGTTTACCCCCGCGCTCCCAGTTCGCTGAACAATCATGAATTACTAACTAGCCCACCTTTCCATCCTATTGCGGAAATGTTGTAGGCCAGTGTGCTCAGATTTGAGTGCATGTTAAAGAACCCCAGGTGGTCTAAATTTCCGGAGCCCTCCACTACGGCGTCTCTCATAATCATCTGGTGGTTTTGGAACCCCACATATCAATCATCAATCAGAAAGTTTTAGACACAAAAATGCGAATGGGAGAAACATTTCAATGGCTCAGTGTGCATTTCAGTGCCATATTATGGGATATTTTTTTTTTAGAACTAAGCAGAGTGTTTGCAGCTGTACACTGACCACCTACGTCATGAACTATATGTTTACTTTGAAAAATGGACGTGCTGAAAAAGTGGTGCTGCCGAAGAAATGGAAGGGAAGGCATCCTTGCAAAGTGAACAATAACTATATTTTACCCACAACATCCCGCAACTGTTCGAGTCTCATAATAAATAAAATATAACCTATTTCAGCAAGACAAAATGAGAAAAATATTCCTAAACTAAAGTACTATTCTTGATACGACAGCAGGCATTCACTTCGATTCTGTAGCTTCCACAGGGCTGTCATGAGAAGTTGTCGTCGAACTTAGCATCATGATGAAACAAGCACCAAAAAGTACGACCACTCAGAAAGGACAAAAGAGAAACCCTTTAGGATGTTACACCTCACCTATCAATTAATGGTGAAAAAGAATTAGGTGTTAGTGAACTAGTAGAAAACACGGAACCCTTCTGAAAGCCCGTGAGGTTTTCACACAAGATGGCTGAGAAAGCAAGAGTGTTCACCCACCTTCCTCGCTCCCATAGTCCAGTTTTGCATAGTTGACAGTCTTGTGGGACCTGACAGGGAAAAGAAGTATACAAAAAGGTAAGTGATCAAGGCTGCAGGTGCGACCTGCAGCCCAATACACAGGCATCTCGCACGATTGCTCTTCAAGAAGTCATGGAATACAAATATTTGGGAGTAATTTTCACCGGTGAACTGAGATGGAACAGAGACTGCACTCATGTTCGGAACAAGGCAATAGTAGCATCGAGTTTTCTGAAACATAACTTCAGCAGTTCACCGCAAAAACTCAGAGAGCAGTTGTATTTTACACATGTCTGCTGTATACTGGACTATTCGTGTGTATGCTGGGACCCTATACAGAGGAACTCGTTGATAAACTGGAAAAGGTCAGAATAGAGCAGTGCGGTTTATCATTGGCAATTATGAAAAATGCTTAGTATCACAGAAAGCAAAAAATATCGAATTGGCCTCTTCCTGAACATCGTTGTCGTAACCCCAGATTAAAATCTCTCCAAAGCATTTAACATTCCAAAACAGGAATAAACAGGCAGTTGTATTTTCAGCCACCCAGCTATGTTTCTCAAAGACGGGAGCATCAGCTTAAGATACGCGAGATACCTTTTAAGGGTGACGCTTTTTGCTACTCTTTCCTTGTTCGTACTATATGCGACCTGAACACCCTGCCACCTGAAACTGAGTGTATTTATTCAAAAGACATTTTTTTTCCCGCGCTTTACAAATGTATTGTTATGTGCTTAATTATATTGTCACGTTGCACTGCGACAATATCTAATGTACCCACCCTTCTGTAATGCCTTTTGGCGAAGCGGGTACTTAATAGATGAATAAAATGCTGTAGGTTGAGAGGATATTTTACTCTGTCAAGATTATTTTTATAAGGGTGGTGCCACCAAATTTGTGGCATGCGTGTTCTTTGCTGTAAGCGTTTCCTTCAGCTCCAAGAAGGATGATGCACGCACCAAGATTCGTGTATTTCTGCTAAATAATTCAATATTGATCTACTTATGTGGACCGTTTTCGGTTTCGCGGCGCCGAGTTGAGCAGTGACGTCGATACACAGGTGGCTTGGCCACGTGATCACTCAAGGCTGTGACGCGCATCGTGCTGAATTTCGTCTGCTCTCACACACAAGTGCCACACAAGCGCCAGCAAAACAGAACACCTTCGCAGGTTTCGATGCGTAGCACTTAGCCAAGAAGCGATCGAAATTCTGCGAGTAATACAGCAACCGATGCATTGCTGGTACGTTGGGTGCGCTCGTTTCGGAGATGGCGGAGGTCACTCACGTCACTACAGATCTGGTGTGACGTCGCGACAATTGCCGTTGCTTCTGCTATTCTGAAACGTCAGTACTGCTGCGCAAGCGATGGGCCTAGATCATGAGAGTGAGCATTCAGCTACACTTCTAGAAGTGAATTAAAATATATTGTTTGTGTTTGTAGGGTCCGAACCTTCGTGTGGAGAGTACTTGTATACAGAGGAAATCCACAGCAAGCTTGGGATAGCCTCGAAATTTGGTGGCACCACCCCTTTAAGCCCAAGAATTGAAGAAGTTTTCTTGATTCAGAGTTGTTATGACTGCATGAAACAGATTTTCATTTAGATCGAAATTTTTGATGAAGCAATGGAGAGTTACAAATATATAATAAAAGAACCCCCACACACAGCTTAAACTTTAGTAGTAAATAATCGCATCACACTTTTGCATACTACAGCACCCATCTGTATAAATCACTCTTTACATGCAATAGATTTGCAAGAATTTTTTTTTCACACATCAAATCAGAATTTATTGAACATCACATTGATATGTAAGGGCACAGACAAAATGCCTATGTAAAGGCTACGGGTCTGCAACCCTCGCCCCCACTTACAGAAAACATTTACTTTGCAACCGTGATTAGCTAGGTGAAACACACATAAGTGCCTCCATTTCAGCCTCTAAAGCAAGCTTAAGAATGGAAATAAGCTGCTGTCCCCAAAGCAGTGAAACTGATCACAAGATTTTTGTTGAATATGGTACCAAGAAACAGAATTTTGAAGCAATGTTTACATTATAATGTGAATTGATAAGTAAGTAGATAATTTTTTAAAAATCATTGGGTCTAGGCATAGCCTCCTCTAGAGGAGGCACTGTTCTAAGATATCACTATTCCAAAAAAATGTTTTGTTTTTAAGAGGCCACATTTCAGGCAAGCATTGCTAATGGACCAGCAAGGTGCACGCATGGATTGCATGCTGGCTGTTTCATTGTGTATGGTCTGATGGATGATAAAGTAGTGGACCTTCGTTTGGATGATGTTTATTATAAGCACTGAACTACAATAGTAAATATAGCTGAATAGCAGCACAGCACAAATGTAGTGTTAAGGTGGGGGGGGGGGGGGGGGGGGAATGTGAAGAGCCAGATCCATGCTGACATTTTGGTCTGCTTGAATTTCCCAGAAAAAGAGGAGGATTGTTGAAGTGCACAAGTCAAAAGAAATGCCCAGTTAAGAAAACAACTAATTGCTGTTGTGTCACGGCTGTTGTTCTCTAATGAAATACTTTCATAGGTGTTTACTGTGGAGCACCTTCAGTTACTATGCCAGAAAACACTGAAAAAAAAAAAAAAATCGATGGCTGCACACAAGTGCTTTCGGTTTATCCAGGAGAGTCAAGGAAAACACGGGTAATTTCCCACAGACATGTATTTTTCGATAAAACGTTTTATTTTCCCGACTAAGAAGCAAATGTTGGAAGTGACTTAGTCAATATACATCTTCAAAAGTCGCAAGTAGACATCCTCCAAATATACTTTTAAAAAAATCAACCCCCGTGTTTCCGAGTCAATAAATGTTTATTATACATGGCATGATGGGGGACATAGGATCAATTTTCTATCTTTAACGCCCACCTCGATTTAAGGGTGTTCTTTGCATTTTATCCACATCAAAATGCGGCCGCCACGGCCGGGAGTCAAACCCACAGCCTCGAGCTACTAGGCAGTCCAACACCTTCTAAGGCAATTTCCCTTCTGTAGTCCGATACCTTTGTAGTAAGGATGCCATATAGAGGATAGCCCAACTTCATATCTTGCTTGGTGTGATGATCATAATCTTTTAAACGTCGGACATCAACGCAGGTGTGGAGCATGATTATAGGTACACGCTCCAACGTATAAATTACGAAACACGAGTTTGTTGTGTATCGCGACTTATACGTTGCGATTTTTGGTCGACCGAAAAACGTCCACAGACCCACAGTTTCAAAGATCGAGACAATCGCGTCACTTTTCACGTAATTCTGCACAAGTATTCGTCTTTCACAATGTCTTAAAGCTAGGTGTTGAAAATAATAGCGATTCCGCTGGAGGAAGACTAGTTTTATAACGTAAGCGTCTTTTCGTTGGATTCCGAGTGCTCTAGTCTCATATGAACAGAGCACAGGCGACATTCCTAGGAAGGAAACAGCAATAATTTGGCGATTTAAGAATCCATTAGAGCTTTGAAGCTGCAAATATTAATGAGGAGCGGCAACCTCGTCGGGAGTTTTCCTATCGCACTACTACGTCGACACACATACCTTGACGACCGCCGCCCTTCAGCCATACCTCAACTTGCGAAAGTAGTCGGACGAATGTGACACAAGGAAGTAAAGATTGCGTCAACTTTTCGAAGATTCCACGAAACGCACAAATTCTACAGTCATATTCGAGCACGGAACGCTGCCCGCAAAGTTGGCGCGCGATTCCCAAGATTACTCAAAGTCACGTGACAAAAAGTGGCTAGCCAAGCCAAGTTGGTAAATAGCGAGTTTTGGTTTTATTCGGAAAACAGCTGTGCAGCCTGTGTCATGACACCCAAATATGTACGATCATACAGCTGCTACGTTCAAGTAATGGTACTGTGCACTAGACCACTCTAGTGAATAAGGAACCCTGTGAAGCCCACGTGTTTCAGAGGATGTTGCACGATAACGCAGACGAAGTGTCAACAGCTGCTCCACTTCCCGTGGAAAGGTTACTGTGATACTTCAAGTACGAGCCACTGGTACGAGTGCGTGACTACACAGGTTAAAGGCATGGACATAAAGACAGGAAAGAAGGCAGAACGCTGTTTTACTGAGCCTCTGCACGGATATGTGCCCGCATTTCCAGTACCGTGAGCAGCAAGCATATGCCACCGTCCTAGTTGAGCTTGCGTGACTTGAGCTCCTAAACCGAAACCTTTATTTATACATACTAGTATTTTATCCAATTTATTAACCGTACGTTACCAACAAAAAACTGCAAAATACCAATACCTTTAAAAACATGACTAAGTTTGGAAGAGGTTAATGAAAATGCCATTCAGTGAAACGGATGCACTCTCGAACGCAGTAATCTCCGTATACTTTCTGTGCGCACACCGGAGGACGAAGCAGCTCAACGTGAGTGTGCGCTTGTATTTCTCGTTTTAAACAATCGCCGCATCGTCGACCGCTCTTCGAAATCATTCGGAGACGTCGTACGCTCGGCGTCGTCGATTCACATCCACGATGCCGACTTCCACGATGCGAACGTCGAAACGCGCCGCGAAAAACTAGGGCATCCCGTTGTCGTCGTTGCGCGTCTTGACAACTACGACTTTCTGTTGTTGAGGAGAGCGTCTCGCTCTTTTTCTTTCGAGCTTTAGGTCACCGTTGAACCAGTGCAGTGTTCTTATAAGAGGCGTTGACGAGTGGCAACAGCCTGCCTTCGTTGGATGCTCGAATGAACACACCAACTTTGTTTGAAGTGCAATCCGAAACGACCAGGCAGGTGTCGGAAGTAGCGTCCGCTTGGCCCCCGTGTAGCGTCGATGTTTTCGAACTCGAAACTGACTAGCTCGTCGATCAGTGTTAAACTTCTCCAGACGGCCTGACTGGAATTCGCGATTCATTCGCGCACCTTGATGTGGGATGTCAGTCAAGTACACAATTCTTGCCAGTCTATGGGTTTGCTTGTGTTGAGTCGGGATTCGGGCTAGATGTGCACTCCATTTAACGAGTTTGGTAACGCACTACGCTGCTGTCCTGATTGATTTCATGCTTGTCCAGTTTTGAATGCATCGCGAAGTGCGCTGTTGACTAGCGCCCGTTTGTTGGTCCGAGTCGAAGTACCAGTGCGTTTTTAGCGTTGAGTAAATCTAGCGGTGCAACAAAAGATACTGGCTCTTCAAAGAGCTAAAGGAGCGGTGCTTAAAGGTGTAAACTGTTGTAGTTCTTACTCGATTGTGACCGACAATTGAATCGATGAAACGCCCGCAGTGATCCCAAGCCGTTCGTGTCATTTGTTATTGCTTGCAGCAGCTGCGCTTGCGAAGTAACTCGGCCTCGGTACACCTTTTTGACGAGATGCCGTGTTTGTTCGCCTCCGCTATTTACCGATGCATACAAGACGCGTGCGATTGTTGTGACTGGAATCGCGTCTGGAGGTTACGTAAGCGATGTAGTAGCGTCGTAATTTTAGTGGAGTAATTTCTTGGGAGGCGATTGCCTTCGTGTCATTTGCTGGACAATAATAATTACGCAGCCTTTTCCAAAGGACCGCGTAGATGAATCGGGCAAACGTGAGCTATGTTTTACGTAAATTTAGCCTGTCTTGTTTTGATTAAAGATGTGCGTTTCTATCTGCGTTATGTGCTTTGTGGTGGGTATTGTTTTCCCTCAGCCCAGAGCTAAAAAAATGGTTGATGAATATGCTGCTCGAAAAACACGAGGACCAGAAGGAAGCACTTACAACGGGCATGCATTGTTTCCTTGCGGTCCTCCTGCTTTTTGGTCCAGGTTGCATATTCGTTAAGTATATGCTACAGCAATCTGCCCACATCAAGCTCCTTCAAGAAATGTTTGAAATGTTCTTTGTGGAATTTATCCAATGAATGCAAACAAAGCAGTGCTGAGCCTGTCACCAGTTCATTATAATTAGGGGATATTTTTTTCTTTACAGCTCATTTCGGGTAGCACCCTTTGTATGATCGATTCAGGAACCAAAAACACTGCAGTCGTTACCAAATGTAGTAAAAGATACATATCTAAATTATTACTTATTTTCACTTTCATTTTGTTAAATGTCTTTCGCATGTGAGAAAGTTTCCTTGCCGCACAGACTGCTCATTTGTGCCTCGACAAATGTAGCCCTGTGAATGAACTGTCTGGTGAAACGTTTTTCATTTTCATCTGACATTGACTCCATCAAAGACTCTACGCAGAGTTGCGTCTATAATTTAGATTATGTGTTTCAAATCAGTGTTGCGGCATTGCCACAGCGCAATTGAAATGACTCCGGCATCATTCCACATGTTCGCAACCCCGAAGTTTAATGGGGACAGCACTTGGAGGAATGGAACGGCAATTGAATTAGGTGCCTTTTGCATGAAGTGGGATGTGCATGGAGTTACGTCTTCTTCCAAAAATAGAGCACGATTAATGTGCTCGCTGTTTTTCAAGCTTCAAACATTAGCAAATCAGAGCCTCGGATTTTCCAATAGAGCAATATTTTTAAGATGGCTCGGCTGTTTATAACATTGTACTTTTATTCACAATGTGTCTACTATAATTGTGTCATTTTATAGATTGTGCTGCTCCAAAGTTTGTCACTATGGCAGCGGCATGTCCCCCCCCCCCCCCACACACACACCGCACACCTTGTGTGTGCATGTTTTTTTTTTCAATAGTATAATATCATGTTCATGTTAGTTATCTAGGCCGGAGTACATGTTTTTTTCCAAAGTCAAAGGCCACTCTAGGGTCATCTTTAGTTAACTGGAGCCAAGCGTAGGTGTGGCATAAAAGTGTGAATGATCAGCCAATTTGTAAAAGAGAAACCAAGGCATAAGCAATGTACTAACAAATGCATCATCCCAGCAGGTGATGAAAGGGAGAAACAAATTATCCATGCTCTTCCGTTCCCATTGATACTCTTCCCCCACGAAAGTGGCAAACACTCTATGCGGTCTTTAACTCGCGAGCAGTTTAGTACCTCAGGCATGTAAATAACCTTTGCGACAAGGAAGGCGCTGCATAACTGTACACAGAGGAACACAGTAGGTTCTCCTCACCCCATCCATGCTTGTGAGGTGCGCTTGACAAGCGTGAGTGCTGGAAAGCAGTATAGCCATGTTCTGTTTTCGATGCAAAGGCACACGGTACCCGAGGTTGCACTGTTTCATTTAATACGAGCAGATTCAGATAGTTTTGTTCCCCCATTAACCAAATCGAAGTTGTTCTTCATTCTCATGACCGTTCCAGACTAGGTCAAAACTACTTAGTCTTCTTGAACACTGCTTTTGTCAGCATTGCTATTGTCGTCATTTTAGCATTAACACATTTAAGCTTAAAAAATATTAAATCATCACCATTTGTTCAAATATGCTGACCATGCAAATACTATAGGTAGCAGGAAAACTGTCTCTGTGGGAATAGCTAGGCTGGGGTACTGCACTACATAAATCACCAAGCTACTATTCCTCGACTTTGGTAATGTGTTTTGTGTACTTTTGCAGTTCTTAATACATATGATAACATCCTCTTTATGGGGCATGCTTTCTTAACTCTATTAAAACTATGAAAATGCCTTTCCTTTGTTGAGGAATTATAGTAATTTAATTGAACTGCCGGGCCAATGGGCTAAGTTTTTTATTCCATGGAATGGAATTGCGACAACTTCTGATTTCCCGGAAATGGAATGGAAGTGCCCATTTTGCAATATTGCCTCATATAGGTGCTTACAGTAAGGGTGCTCTGTGGCTACGGTGTGCTTCAGCTTTGTATAGAGTATCTCAGGGGATTTGGGGAGAATAGACAAAGGCCCTCTGCCTGAACAGAGCATTGCTGCTGTCATGTTGTCCTGTTGTTACCGTGACTATAGTTTGTCTACCTAAATTTTATTTGCCATTTTGTTAGGTAACATTTTGGTAAATTCAAATGAGATCATTAATTTTTGAAGGTGTATGACACTGAAAGCAGTCACACATATGATAAAGAAGTGTGTATATGTGAAATGGAAAAAGGGGATGATATGATTGCCAAATCTTGGCTTACTAGCTATGAACCTCTCGAATTATGTGGGCAGCTTTTTTTTTTTTCATTGACCCATCTGTATATTACGTAGAAAAAGCAATTGATTTAAGGTTAGTATATATATATATATATTGGAGGTTATATATATATAAGGTCGCAGGTTCCGATCCTGCCCACAGCAGGTTATCTTCTCACCCACTTTTCTTCATATTTACATTACAATTTGGTCTAATATCTTCTATACTTTCCTTGGCATTATTGTCTGTTAGATCTCATTAATATTGTGTAAAAACACGGAAAAACGAGCCTTTAAGTATACACTTCTTTCCATATTCATTAACGAGGGTCTCGTACTGGCAGACTTAGTGCCTTTCGGTTGTATACGAGGGACTATTGGTCAGCTGCCCACTCGTAACAAGTTCACGTGCTACGTGACGCCAAACAGGCTCAAAAGAGTGTGCCACACTCACCGCCATGGCTACTGGTGGTGCTGACTGACACTCCCACGTTTAATTCACATGTAAACCCTATAAAGTGGCTGGGAGGATAGCTGTCGTGGTAGCTCTGTGGTAGAGCATCGAACGCGTCATTCGAAGGTCGCATGTTCGGATTCTGCCCACGGCAAGTTATCTTTTCACCCACTTTTCTTCATATTTACATTACAATTTGGTCTAATATCTTCTCCTATACTTTTCTTGGCATTATTGTCTGTTAGATCTGATTAATATTGTGTAAAAACACGGAAAAACGAGCCCTTAAGTATACACTTTTTTCCTTATATATATATATATATATATATATATATATATATATAGACACGCACACACACACACACACACACACATATATATATGATGGCTAGCACTAGAAATAAGGCAACTTACAGGTCAGTGTCCAGGTACTTGATTCATAACTATGCCCAAGGGCTTTCTTGTTAGGGTTGTTAGTTATGTTTTGTTGCAATGGGAGAAAGAGAGGGAGATTCAGGAAAGGAAAAGACAAAACTTCTGCAGCCCTAATTGGGAGCACGGCTCATTGCCTATAGGGGGGAGGGGAGGGCATTAAAGATGCGAAGAACAGAGAAGAGAAATGTGGTCCATGACATGGCGGACAGCTTCTATAGGCGGTTGTCCAGTCCAGTGTCCCCAAGGAAACGAAGAACAGCCTTGAAGACCTGTATGTGGTGCCGTGCAGGGGAGAAGATATCCCTCTGTGTAGCAGCTGGCAGACCGTGGCAACGGAGTCTTGCAAGCACGATGTCTCGATGTCTGCTAAGTGCTGGGCAAATACAGAATAGGTTCTCAATGGTTTGATCTGTCCCGTATGCAGAGGACGGGGCTTTGCCTAGCCGATGACTCCGGGCCGCAGGCCAGGAGCAGGCGATGTGTAAATGAAGTAGAAGGGACCTCTCTTTCCTTGTGAAACCCTGGTCAGGCAGCTGGGTTGGCTGTTCTATCCTGGCTACATAATCATCAGGGTGGCAGCGGATGACAGGACAGCTGCAAGTTGGGAGAGGGTGAAGCATGGTTTAGACACTTGAAGCAAAGCAACAGAAAAGACTACCGTATTTACTCGATTCTACCGCGCCCTCGATTGTAACGCGCACCCGATTTCCACAGCGAAAAAAAAAAAAAAAAACGTAAGACATCGATTGCAACGCGCACCCATTTTTTCTCGCTGGCCCGCATGATCACACCACTCGAAAAAACGACTCCTTTCGGGAGCGTCTTCCATTTAAATATGAGGTACGGGCGAAGCTTGTGCCCATCTGACGTGTAACAGAGCATTGCCGTCACTGTAGTTTTACCGTGGACCGATGTCAGCACGCGAACTTGCTTCGCCCCCTTCTTCTCGACGGTTGTGGTGCCAGGCATGTCGAAGTAAAGAGGCGTCTGATCGGCATTCCCGATTTGCCCAAGCAGGTAGTCGTTGTTGCGCCGCAAGTTTAGGACGAACCTCTGAAAACTGTGAAGTTTTTCATCGTACTCCTCCGCAAAACTTTTCGCATATGCATGTTCCCCTTCGGAGAGAAAAGCCTTTCCTCTTCATAAAGTTAGTTAGCCAGCACCTGCTCGCTTTAAACTGGCTCCGCATTAGACCTTTTTCTTTGACTAATTGCATAGCCCGCACTTGGAGCAGTTCTGCCGTCACGGGCCGCTGTGCTGCTCGCTGCTAAAGCACATACTCGCCGAGCAGCTCTTTAATTTGCGGAAACCGACCCTGCTGTGGTCCACTGAAGCCTTTGCGTAAAGCTTTGCTGTCGAAAATCTTCTGCTTTTGTTTCCGCCGGTCCCGCACGCACGTTTCGGGAACTCCGAACGACCGCGATGCGGCCCGATTTCCGTCCGTTTCTGCACACGCGATGACTTTTCTTTTAAAAGCGGCATCGTGGTGCACTCGAGTTTTTGGAGTCGGCCATTCCACGCCGTTGATGCTAATGCACTACTAGATGACGAACTCCTCAGCACACGTACGAAGTGCAGCACATGAGAAACACATAGGCAGAAATGGACGACGCGCCATGCCGACGCACGTAGGGGGCGGCCATTTTAGATTTGCCGATGGCAATAGATTGGCCGTAATTTTTTTGTTCGTACTCGATTCTAACGCGCATGCGATTTATGAACTCGCTTAACCGGAAAAAAGGTGCGCGTTAGATTCGAGTAATTACGGTAATTTTTTTGTCACATAAAGGGAGACTTTAACCATATCATGATATCGCTGTGTTCAAATGGTTTTGACAGTCCTGTAGCAGGTAGGGTGGTTCAATTTGCATAGAAACTCACCAGTCATACTTAAGTTAAAAAAAAAAAAAACATGTGTTGGTGCCAGAACAGGTCGTTGCTGCTTCATGCAGCATCTATGATGGCATCGCACCCTACCTTTTTATAATGTAAACACAGTACACATACGGGTGTAATGAGCTATGAGAAACTCGTGAGGTCATTGAACAATGAAATAAGCTTCACCAGCTTTTAGGAAGATCAGGAAGACCACAGGTGTGATCTTTGTGTTGATTTAAGATAGATAAAATTTATTTTTAGGAAAACTACATTGCTTGGGATTATATAGCCTGAGGCACATCATTAGAGTACTGAAGAGAATGCATATTATTGAGCATTTTAATGGGATCAGTGGTCATCTAAAAATTTTCACAATAGCCTTCTAAAACAAATGACAGCGCAGTGCCATGTCCTGTTCTTTCACATGTGCTGTACTTTGTACTGTTTCGCCATAGTGTGCAGCTGTGCTGTTGTGTTCAGTGTCAACACGCAATTGCATTGCATTCATTACATGGCAGCATTGGCATGTTTCAGATTTCTTCAATCAACTTCAGACCCTGTACCTGCAAGAATAATAAATATATGGCCTTTGAGATTGGTTTTTGTTGCTCTGTGGGAGCCATTTCTGGCTGTAGGTTCATATATCGCTTGCTACTGCGCAAGTGAGTACAAGACGCTGATAAAGCACTGCTGCAGTTCCCACCTCCTCATCCTGGAGGAAGGTACCCGGCTAGTTCCGAAACGTTGGTCTTATACGAGCTTTATGATACATCAGTTGCAGTTTTTTTTCCCAGCTTACCTTCCTAACCAGAGAGACTTTCGTCTTCTGTGAATTGTTTACCTTCATTTCACTGTGCACAATCTCCTCCTTTTTTTTTTTTTGCCTAATCAAAGAAGCAATGCTTCTGCCGCTTCGCGGGCTTCCCGTTTGTCATACCTGGAAATTTTCCACTCACAGTTTTCCGCTGATATCATTTCTCTGCTTTGTCTGCAGGTTGTGGAAAGGCCGTGAAAGTCGACCATGACTGAGCATAACAGCCGCAAGCGGCGGCATCCGACGGAGTTAGGCCCACCTCCACGATGGCTCAACTGTCCGCGCAAGGGAGCTCTCATTGCTGGTGAGGCCGAATGTCTTTTCTCCTGTGAAGTTTTGCGTGCATCACCCTTTCAGGTGACGGATAAGAAGATGCCATCGCCAAGAGCAACGACAGCACAGAAGGGCAGCCGACAATGCTGAGGGGAATGTGTCAAATCACGTGTGTGCAACTCTGTAAAATTCCGAGTTCGAGGGGGTAGGATAACGAAAGGTAGAAATTTGCACTAATGTGACTGTGGGACAACTTACCTTCATTCACCTAGCCGGCTTCTGCAGGACTTATGTGCCATATTTGTTATGCTCATCTTTTCAGGAAACATGCCCTTTCTTGGCAACCTCTTAGCTTCTTGCATAGCTCAGGTGGTTGAGTGAGCACCCCGGGAAAAAGTCATTGGTCTTAAGCTTGATCCCCACACAAGGACATATATTTCTTCAACTGTATATCTCTTTTTCTTTTAATTATGGAAAATTTGAGTGGGATTGCCTTGTTGCTCTACGACGATTGTGGGAAAAGCGAATAAATGTGAAAAATTATTTCTTTCGTGCACTAAGCCTGTTCGAAAGAATGAAGTATACAACTCAACATTGTAGCGACGGCACAGGGTGGTTGGCAGTATACCAAAATTTCGATTCATACGGCTGCGGCAGAAAAATATTGAAACGAGTGGTGGATAACAGGGGCATCATAGTCGCAGCTAGCATTCCAAACAGTGCCTTCAGGACAGACTGCTTTCTGTTGGCCACTTCCTACTGAAATCGGAGGTCATGCTTGACACCTGTTAGCATGCTCCGGCACAAAAGCACCCTGCATCGCAATATTTTTCACTATGGTCGACGGTCACTCATGCTAGTAACTCTCTGCCACAGATATGAGGGCGAAAATGCAAAGCCGTCAGTTTGATTGTTATGTTGAGTTTTCTGAGCAAATGTTTCGCAGAAAAAAGTGCCTTTTTCTTTGTGATTTGCAGAGAAGTTCCTTCCTTTCAAGACGCCCCTGAGCGAGGTGTATGATGCTCAGGTGCCCGAGGAGAACCGCTTCCCGCCATCCATGCTGTTGGACTCCTTGTCCAGCTACAAGGTGTGTGGATCAGCTTGCATATTGAATGCATTGACTCTGTTTGCGTTTCGTCTCATGTTGAGTTGGGGATATGGCATAGCTGCTTATAAACTCTTCTGTACATTTCTTTTGAGGTACGTGCTGACTGTTTCACTCAGTTAATCGCCTTTATTTCCTCTCATAATCCCGAATGTTGAATGGCATGACATGTGAGGAAAGAAGTGAGGAGGCAATAATGGCTAGAAATAAGGAATGAGCAGTCAGAGATGAATGCTGTTGTTATCGTAGTGGATAGGCCATTCAGTAGACCGATTCTCAATTTATGTCAGCTGTGCAATAAATAACTTATAAAGTGTAGAAGCACAACAGAATGTGGAACTGAATATAAATGTTTATGAGGTGATGGTAGTATGAATTGCAGAGCAAATATGGGTAGCCAATATTCTAGTTGAGATTTAGGGAGTGAAGATTGGCAGGCAATGGAAATCATGATCTGTTGCATTGACAGAATGGGTGACAAAGATAGGAGAAAATGTGGCCATGGATGGCAGAGGGTAGGTTTGTTGATGAGAGTGTATCGATTCCCGGCCTATAAGAAAATGACGGGCAATTCAATGCAGGCAGTTTGAGAATGGGTCACGGTGCTCTGTTGTATCGGACACAAGAGGGGCATTCTTTGCTGCGTGTCCATCTTGCTTGTGTTGCGAGTTGCTTTTTGTGTCAATTTCTCATATTTGTGTGCCCATGCAGCTGAAAATGGGACTGTGGATCGACCTGACTAATACAGACCGATTCTACAACCCCAAGGTGGTCGAGGAACGAGAGGTTCGATACCTCAAGCTTCAGTGCCGTGGGTCAGTACACGATCTTCGCCTTACTTCGCTTTCTTCACAAGATCAAGTAATGGAGTAACTTTTTGAACCGGTTCATATGCAGGTAAAGGGAGAGCAAGGGCGGGATACGACACCTCTGAAAACAAAACAGCGAAAGAGACTGAGCACAAGAAAAGAGGACACAAAGAGCAGCGTAGCAGCACTGCTGCTTGTGTCCCCCTTTTTCTTGTGCTTGGTCTTTTGTGCTGTTTTCTTTCAGAGGATCGTGTGTACCTTTGTTATTGCCCGCTTCTTTATTATTTAGGGGTAACACTCGCTGTTTTGTTCAGTACAATTGACAGTTCTAGTGGCAATTAAATGAACACGATGAGCGGGCGTATACAATCGAACCCCGGTACAACGAAACTGGTGGGGCACGGGAAAATTTTGCTGAAGCGAAAATTTCGTAGTAGTGTAAGAAAGTATAGCTTACCTGAACCAGCAAAATAAAATAAATAGTATTCCCAAAATTCAAAAAGTGTCGGCTGCTTTCTTTTCTTTCCCAACGGCGTAATGGCGCGATTCTCATCCATGCATAGCGACGCCATGGTGAAAAGCATGCTAAAACAACGGCCACAACGGTTTTCGTGAACCATAGAGTATACAATAACGCCCAGAGAAGAATCTCGCGCCACAGTCGATGTGGGCTCCTTCAGTGGTGCTTGTACCCCCGGGGGAATTATAAGTAGTACAGGCTTCGGATTTTATTCGAATGGATCACGTTCTTGAGATGCACGATGCTTGTTTGCCGAGTGTTAAACAAAGTGCTATGAAGTTATATTTAATGGGAACTTGCTTCATTCTTTCGTATGCAAACTTTATTGCATAAAGTTCTTGTGACCAGGTAGTAGAAGTAAAACCTAGACAAGTTTTACTACCAGGGTATGCATTGCTTTGTCCCGTTTCAGATTTGGCATCAAAATTTAATCAAAAAATTTTTTCAACACTTGAAAGCAAGCATTCTTTTTCTCCTTTGATAGTATGCATTATCTATTTATGGAAATAACAATGCATTATCAAGTGACAAACATTCAATGTATCGTCTGCTGTGATGTCAGGTGCATTTGTCCAAGTGGTTTGCTGCCAACGCACCTCTCGTTTTGTTGTGAAGTCAAGTCAGGGGAGCGTGACGGTGCATGTACTTAGCTTCGCCGTTGCTTTGGAAATCGGTTTAAATGAGTTTTAGCAAGACACGCTATTGAAGAGATGTGAATTATATGCAATATCACGCACTGGTAAGGGGTGCTACATCTATGCGCAGCGATGAGTGGACGACGCTTCGCTTAAACTGTCAAATAAAAACTTTAAAGCTTTAATGTCGCAGCAAAGCAAGAGACCTAGTGGTCTTCAGCCTTTTTGAACTACAAAGGCGTTGCTTCAGTGCTTTGAAGCACAAACCACTACCCATGCTGTGTGAAGAATGAAAAGGTTTGTAGACTGTAGAAAAGGTTGTAGACTGTAGGAAAAGGTTTGTAGACTGTCCACTATCTAACGCAATCCAATCCGAAGACAGTACTTCCGATAATTCCCATGGCGATACACGATAGCAGCACCAGATTCCTCTTTAGGTTTTTTTGTATGAAACTCTATTTCGTAAATGAACCTAACGTTGCACTGACATGCTAACACCAGCAACTGTCCACCGTCAAAGTGTATCCGACAACGCCGAGAGGGAGGCGTGGTATCATAAAGCTGTGACTTATGCCGTATTCTATGCTATTCTTATCATCTACTAGTTGCGGCTGGCTGATTTTGTTGATTGATTGATATGCGGGGTGTAGCATCCCAGAACCACCATATGATTGTGAGATGCCGTAGTGTAGGACTCCGAAAATTTCGACCACTGGGGGTTCTTTAACGTGCACCCAAATCTGAGCACACAGGCCTACAGCATTTTCGCCTCCATCGGAAATGCAGCCGGCGCAGCCGGGATTCGATCCCGCGACCTGCGGGTCAGCAGCTGAGTACCTTATCCACTAGACCAACACGACGGGGCCGGCTGATTTTGTTGATAACGCGGACGAACACCTGCTCTGACCAGGGACCACACTAGCCACGCGGGAAAAGAGCCTGAAGCATTGGTATCTGAAAAGGTGAATTAAGGCAATGGTTCCGCTGTCTCAGCAGCTGTGTGTAAGAAACTATGAACTGAGTGACTGAGCTTCAGCTTCGAATTGTCTGCGGCTCAAAAGTAAGCCAGTGGCAAAAGCAGGGCTGTCTCATTGCCATCGCTATCGAGCAATGGTGGTCCTATGTTTATTAAACAGTGGTAGTTTCTGGTGGTGCGACGTGCCTATTACGCTTCGGCGACATATTTTTAATTTCTGAAAATGCATTAAAATGTTCAAGGCTGTGTTTGCTGCATGGTATTAAATATCGGAGCCGGAAATTGCATCATCAAATTTCATTGCAGCGGATCGGCAGAAGAAAAAAAATCACAGCATATCTACTGAACGAATGATGATGAGTGGGGCAAAGCGTCCGTCCGTGTGTATGTCCGTTTGTTCGTTCGTCCGTCCACCTATCTACTGAACACTCCAAGTACTGCCATCTTGCATCTTTTCATCATATAGTACCGCCATCCAGCGGACATTTTAAGGACTAAAGGAGTAATGGCTACTACGATGAAGACACGGGACATACGACCCACGGCGTAAGGAGTTCGCTCCTAAAAGTGTTCGTTGTGGTGAGAATATTCATGCATTGACTCTTATGGTCTCCTGATGGGGGAACTAAGAATTTTTCAGCCTATTGGAAATTTTGTTGAAGTGGTGTTTGTTGTAGCGGGGTTCTTCTCTATTTGTACAATAGAATACAGAATACTGTGCCATGTTGGTCCATTCTCATGAGCCATTTCAAAATACATCAGGGTCCCCCTTGCAGTGTGCCTCATATGCAGAGCGTGACTCCTTGTTTAATATGGTGGGAAGGTGGGCAACCCTTAATATGTGACCATACTTTCCCTTTCTTTCTCGTCCTTGCTGTGCAGCCATGGAGAGTGCCCCTCGGAGGAGCAGACAGACTTGTTCATTGAATTGTGCCAGAGGTTCATCTCTAAGAACCCACTGCACATAATTGGTGAGCCACCTCACTGTCATTAGGCTTGTGCAAATATTTGAACAAACAGCTCAGCATTCGAACTTGCTTCGATTCGAATCACTGAAAATTTTCTAGTATTATTAAAAATTTCAAGGAATTATATTAGTCCACACACACGTAACCCCTTGTGAAGGTTGCTTTGTTACAGTGGAGCAGTGCTGAGAAGTGAGAACACCTATTCAAATGTATAAAACTAGTTTGCATGTAACGCCTTGTAAATATGGTTTCACTGCGGCAAAGGGAAGGGATGCTAAGCCGTAAAAACACATAATCAGGGGAACTCTGCATTGCCGCGAAGTCCCACTTCAAAGTTAAATCCACAAATTACCCTCACATTTATTCATCATGCCCTATCACCAGTTTAGAAGCTTGTTACACCAGCTTATATGCTCCAAGTATAGCAAATTTTACGACATAACATGTTTTACTGTTTATCACTCGCACCGTACCAAAAATCAAATCCTGCTGCCATTCAAAGTTGTTTCCACTTCTTTTGAGCCAAAAAGAATGGCCTTAGCACAAGTCTTGTTTTAATTTTTAGAATATATTTTGCAGGTCAGTTCGGTCATGACAAATAGGTCCGTTTTTTTTATATGCGATATAGTCTATTCGAATGTAATTCGAAATTATTTGAACCAAATCACTATTCATTTTGAATTTGCTTCGAGCCTGAAATTCGCTGTTCGCCTAAGCTTAATTTACGTGCTTGCTCGGGAAAGAAACCCTACAGGTTCTTCTTCTGAGTAAAAAACTGGACTGACCTGTCTTCTCATTTATTTTTATTGTGACAGCATCTATACAGACACTCCAGGCACACATTTGCCGTTGCCATTACCATAAGTTTCCATAATTGTACTCCAGCGATGATGAAATTGCCCAGTGCATCACATTGTAAATGTGCTAGTGAACTTGTGCTAGGGCCACCAGCAATTGCGGCTCAAGCGTAAAGGAAATGCGTCGGCTGTCTTTTGTTGTGCAAAAGACCTATCGGGGTGCAGGGGGTGCAGGGAGGCTGCAGCGGGAACTACCATATTTGCTCACTTGTAAATCAAGCTTTATACCAAAGTTTTTGCTACCTAAGGTTCACCAGTGCATTACAGTAGAATACCAAAATTGCAGTTTTTTCTTCCTGCGTGTAGTGAGAAGTCACCCCTCGCATTAGAATAGTGGTCGTGTTACAACAATCAAGCTTGGTTCATACTTTCAACGACGGGGCAAAGTCATGCATTCTCTATCTTGGTTTATGGGTACCGGCAGATTGCTCATACTGTATTCTCCACGCTTAGTTTGCGTTGAATTTACAAACAGTATGAAGGTCACTTTGCTTGCCGAGTTACGCCAGGTTGGATGCCAAAGAAGTGAGCTGCTGGCCTTACTTTGTACATAGTTTGTATTTATATCTGTTGCATTCTTCGCACTGCCCTTGCAGCCAACCTGTAAATTCTTCTCTCCTCATTTTAAGGGGGAATTCGGGATTGACGAATCCTCTTGCACTGGAGGTTCTTCAGTAGTGCTTGTGAAAAAGTTGTTTGCTATCACCAACCAGCCACACATTCGCGAGGCATACACACGGTGAACCCGGGGACTGTTGAGTAAAGTGTAGTGCGTTGCTGCCTGGCAGCTCAGCAGTGGTAGGGCTAATTACATAACATTAGCTAACTTCGAGATTGAAATAGATTGAAATAATGGAGATTCGGTCTATTGAAACTAACAGTGCATCGACTAAGACGGGCATTCGAAATTGAGTTGGCTGGAGTCAAACTGAGTCAAACTAACTGGAGTCAAAGAGGAGCCTAATGTTCTAATTTGAAAAAAATTCTAATCTTGAAAAAAAGTCTAGTTGAGTCGTAAATTGCCAACGAAAACTGTGACGAGACTAGTGGTAACATTGCCTCAAAATTCTGCAGCTGCTTGCTATTACCAGCAATGTATGCTCGGATGTCAGTTATTTTGATTTTTTTTCCTTCTAAGGATGGGAGACATTGAACAGGGTGTCACTAACCTGGAAAACCTGGAAAAGTCGGGGAATTCGAACCCTTTGGAAACGTCTGGAAATTTCTGAAAAAAAAAAAAAACCTGGCCAGGTCAAAGAAATAGCAGCAGTTTGTGCAACCATCACAAAAATAAGCATTACCATTGGTCAAAGCATGAAGAGTTGCTGCTTCGGCTGCAGCTACAGCGAACTGCAGCTACAGCGAACTGCCAGTGGAGCTGTGAAAAAAGAAAGCAGTGCGTAACTGTTGCTTCCTAGTGTAAGTGCGAAAAGATTCCCCGAGCAATAAAACACGAAGTTTACTGACATTTTGGCAGCCAATGTGGGAGCCCTGTTCGCATTAAAAGCCGTAAGTAAAAAGTAGGATATTTAAGTACGCCCAACTACGGGTGTAAGTAACTAGAAGAATAAGAATGGGGTGGAGTACATTTGGCCAGAACTCTCAAATTATGACAGGTAGATTGCCACTATCCCTCAAGAGTAAGGTATATAACAGGTGTATCTTGCCGATACTTAGCTACGGAGCAGAAACCTAGAGACTTACAAAGAGGGTTCAGCCTAAATTGACGATGACGCAGCGAGCAATGGAAAGAAAAATGGTAAATGTAACCTTAAAAGACAAGAAGAGAGCAGAGTGGATTAGGGAACAAATGGGGATAAGATCTCATAGTTGAAATCAAGAAGAGGAAATGGACATGGGTCGGGCATGTAGCATGTAGACAGAACAATCGCTGGTCATTAAGGGTAACTAACTGGATTCCCAGAGAAGGCAAGCTGGTTAGGGTGAGACAGAAGGTTAGTTGGGCAGATGAGATTAAGAAGTTTGCGGGTATGGATTGGCAGCAGCAAGCACAGGACCGAGTTAACTGGCGGAACATGGGAGAGGCCTTTGTCCTGCAGTGGACGTAGTCAGGCTGATGATGATGATGATGAAGTACGAGACAGAAACAGTGCGAGTACATTGTTGGAAGTGTGAAGTATGTCATCACTCCTGTTTGGCATATGTGCAGTCGTCTGTATCTGGATTCTAAGTGCAGGCATGATGCAAGCTTCTTTTCTGTGTCCAGAACACACGCGCTTGACCAGTCAATTTGATGGCCTGGAGATTTCACGTGTTCAGCGGGGCCATTCGAGGCCACGCGTTGTTTCGTGGCGTCATATTCATGTTTAACTATTTTCTCGAAATCACCTGTCTCTCCGATGTGCTGGTTGTAACAATCATGACAACCCTTGGTGAAAGAAAACCAGGGAAATTTCCACTCTGCAATTTGTCCTTCATGTTGACTAATGCATACCTTAGCTCCCACGTTCGTGCATGCACCGACTATTTTGGTGTATTGCTTCTACATATCACACAGCATATCTGACTTTTGAACCACAACATTACTCACGTCGGTAAGTTTGTGCAACTTTGTCTTGGCCACGATTTCGGCTCTGCTGAAAGGCCTTCTGGTTAGTCTAGAAGTCCCATCAACAAAGGCTTGCTGGGCAATCTCGTTCCTTTTATTATTAGTGATGCAACAGCAAACGTCTTCAGCTACACACTTATTGCTGGTAGTTCACGTTTCAAGGGTAGCATTAGGGTAACTTCAGCTAAATTTCTCATATCAGTTCCTTGAGATTGTGTTATTAAGTATGTGATTATTTCTTAGTGTCATGTCCACAGAAATGTATGTAAACGAAGGTAACATACCAACATTCGTGATTCTTCTGTGAAATCGAGGAACGCGACAGATTTCTTTTTGCCACCACATATTTAAACTTCAGCATTTTAAATATGCTACCCCCAGCTTTCATTGTGGACATCTGAGGACTTTCATTGCAGTTCAAGCGTTACAGCCCAGAGAAATAAAACACCATGATGCGTGTGGTTGTCGAAAAAAAAAAGGAAGAAAAATTTTGCAGTACAGCTCTGTTCTTTCAACGTTATCGTTGGTCATTGTCAAGACAAGGTGTACAGAATATGGAGTACTAGTAGTTATTCTTTTTTTGCTGAAAAGTATCTTTTAGAGGTGCGCAAAATAGGTGGGGACGCAAATCAGTAGTGAATGCAGCAATCCAGGTCGAGTCAGATCTATTCTAATCCACATCCTTAATTCAGTCAGTAAATGCAGAAGTTCAAGTCGGGTCGATCTAATTCTATCCAATTCATGTCCTAAGTGACGTGGGCTACAGCCACTATGGTAAACTAGATTATACGCCAGTAGCAGAAGCGGCCAGGCTCCTGTGTCCTCATTTTACACGGATACCGCGAGATGGCACCACTTCTACATTTCCTAGCAGATTTGACCGCGATGTCCGACAATCGCAGGCTGCTTCAAAGATTCATCTGCGGTTACCTTGAACTGGTGTGTTTGCCTCGTGGTTCTTCTGAACAGCTGACTTGTTTACTGCCTGGCTCAGGGGTTTTATTTTGGCCAGATATACATATTCTTTCACATTTACCACACGCGCTCAGAACACAGAGTTTTCGAAGCAGATGTGGCGGTCATGGAATTCACTTTTAATCATCATGGAAAACCTGGAAAAGTCAGGAAATTTAGTAATATCAAATTGGTAGACACCCTGATTAAAGCTTCGAAAAAACTGAGCTTGGTTCTTTTCCAAGGCTTTGAGTGCACCGTGACAGTTCAATTAGGAAAGTTGAAATCCATAATGTCACACATCAATTATGAATGTATGGTAAAAATGTTAACTTAAAAAAACAATATTCTATCTTTGACCCCCATTTACTTCAACTAATCAACTTGAAATTAGTAAGAGCAAGGTCATGGAAGATTACATTATTATTCTAAGCTGATACACCGCTTTTTGCACCTTGAGCGGATGCAGCAAAAATGATACGCATGGACAAAGAAAAAAAAAACATGGAAGACAGCAGTGCCTTCTTGTTTCTTTTCTTTGTCTAATTTTTGCTGCATCTGCTCAACGTGCACAACCACTAACTAGCCCAGATGCACACCATCCTAGATCTTTTTCTCTTTAGTGTTCTTTTACGAATGCAAAGCCGCAGTAGACTTATTTGCCTTATCGACTCTACGATTTTCTTGTGTGCTTTCTATCTTCCTTGCATTAGTGTGTGTATTTAAACATGTGTATGTGAATTATGGTGCTATTTTGTCAAACTGCCGTGTCCGCGGGACTGCTTTTCTCAACGCGCATCTGCTCTTTTCAGTGGGGAATAAAAGTAAAAGGTCCACAGTCAACATTCAAGATTTTGACTGACCTGCCTGTTTTTTTTTTGCAGGTGTTCACTGCACGCATGGTTTCAACCGGACAGGTTTCCTCATTGCCAGCTACTTGGTTGTGAACATGTCCTGGAGGTGAGGCCGTCAATGTCATCATGTGCGCACGGGAGCGTCGATGTCATCAACTGTACCCAGTAGTTCATTGTATCGCAGTCTCAGTGATTCCACTCCTGCGCCAACTGTGCCAAAGTGTGGCAAATCAGATTTACTGCGATATCCTGATAATATCAATAGAAATTGTGCCAAACTGCGCCAAAGTCCGATTTGGGAGCTTCTGCCACTGGCAATAGCCATGCCGGCGCGTCAAAACATGTGCACATTGTTCTTGGAGCCACCGAAGTAACAATCACAAACCTATAGAATTATTCCGATTAATACGCAGCGGTCGCGCGCATGCCTCCTAAGTAATCCATGATGCTTTGTTTGGTGCCGACACAACTTCTGTTGTGCAAGTTCACTTACTGGCGAAATGCGCTCTCAGGAGGGGCTCGTGACGGCTAGTCCAATCGGTACGTCATCCGTTCTAAGAACGCTGCTGATAGTTGTTTGAAGAGTTGCAGTTTGAAGAGTTGCGAGACACGTAATTATTCACTGTACCTGCATGCCTACCCCCACAATGTCTGTCACGTCTACTTCTAGGCATCGTGATCTAATTTTCCGTCCCTCGCATCCACAGAAGAACATGTGAACGACGAGAATGCGTTGACACTTTTCTTTTAATATACTTTATTTGTGGATCTTCGTTTGTAAGAACTTTTTTGTAATTCCTTCCACCAGCACATCTGCGTTTGTAATCGCTGTTGTGGCAAAAGCCCTCAAAAGATCCTGCCCTTTCGAACTTGAGATTGCTAGGGTCTGAATTAGAAATTTTTGTGCGCTTTTTTTTAATGTCATCTCGTTGATGAAAGCATGCCTCCTGGTGTAGCAGCTGCGATTCGGTTTAAATACGCACAGTAATCATCAGTAGAGCCATCGCTGGTGGCTCTGGTGTCGGAAAGCCCACGGTGAAGCGGCTACGTTTTGTTGCACGTCCGCCTCTCGCTTTCCAGGGTCAATAGCTGAAGGTTAAAAGATAAATGTCACGGCATCGCCTTCACCGCTTCGTCTTACGGGGGGCCAAGGAGGGGAGGCTGTGTCGGTTAAAGGGCGCAGTCACTGGCACGTGATATCGCAAGGCATAATGACACTGCTCATAAACTTTCTGTGCTACTGACCTACTGACAGTAAGAAAACAGCTTCAACAACTGGAGTGGTCATTGTTCCTTTAGCCAGTGTTCTGTTGAGTTCTGCGATGTTGGGCCCAAAAGATACAGTTTGTTAGTTTCACTTAAGCTCTTAGCAATGAATGCCATATGAACAAATTGTATTTTTATACCAAATAATAATGCTTGATGTCATTCATGTGGAGCATAGGGGTTGCCATTTCAAAGGTCTGCGCACTCGCTGCACACGCAGAAATCTTGCTGCACGGGTAGTGTTTGATATCTGTGCAGCGATGTGGATGACTAAAGGCCCCCAGAACACCTCTTGCATGTTGATCCATGTACAGATAGAATCAGACTTCTCTAGAGTCCCCAGCTGGCCACTTCACCTGCCATTTCCTTCATAAATATATGTAAATAAAGATGCAGTAGTGATACCAAACATGGCCATACTGCTTGTTGGCTCTTGTGCTATAATGTAAGCATGAAGGGAATCTTGTAGCTAACATTAATTAGATAGAAGCTGCGGCCAACAAAAGTGTCAACAGGCACATGTTTCCCTGTTCTAGATAAGTGTGTTCTATCTGTACAGCATAAACAATGCGTACAAATGGACCTCCGAAATGGCGCGACGATGGTGTGGTCTATATGGTCACCCCAGAAATTGAAGCACTTTTTGTCCAGTCTGTTTGCATTGAGAGTACAAGATAGAAGGTATACCAGCCGTCTTTAATGCCAGCGAAAACATCACGCCCTAGCGATCACACCCTGAAAGCCGAAGTTCATAACAACAGCCCCCCTCCCCCCCTTGCATTCTAGTTCCTTCCCCTGCTTCTTCAAGATAGGCGGCACATTCTTCTCTGCTTCAGTAATAACTTAAAAAAATACTGTGAGGCTTCTTCTTTTTTTTTTTTTGCACTGGTTACCAGAGGACAGAGACTACAAAAGGTTTTTGGTGTATACACAGAACACCCTAGCCACATAAAGCATCGCTGCAAAAAGAAAATGAAGTTTGTTAAATAATGTAGTTTGCATGGAGAAATGAGTGCAGGAGGAAGCTGGCTTAATGAGACTAGCTATAAATGACGTCATGTTACGCCCAGCAATATAGTCAGTTGTGATGAAAAGGAACCTTTCTTCATTCTTGAAGTCATTTTAGAGAGATGCAGTTGGGATTGTGTATGTCTAGCAATGTGCGTTACAGCATTTGCCTACCATATCTGCTGATACCCATATAGATGTATTTTGCATGTTGTTTCATAAAGTACAATTTTATTCAACCTGTGTTCTGTTGATTTGCTATGACAATTATTCATGATCACATTTTTCTAGAATGTTCAGCAGCATAATATCATTATTTTTGCATCAACTGAAATAGGGAATGCTCCTAAGATGTCTCACTCTATGAGGTTCGCAATGAGTTGAAATATTTCTAGCTTTTCACAAGAGCCCCCATATAATTGTTCGCGTCCTTTAATGTGAAAGCAACTTGCTTCTCCTCTAGGATTTGAAGTTAGCAGCTCCAGGTTTCCTCAAGATGGAAAAATTTTGCTGCTCAAAAGTGCTGCAAAATGAAAATTTGGCTGCTCCACAGAGTGCTTCAAATGAAAAGACCTCGGTTGCATCACTGCAATCTGTTAAAAGCGAACCTTTCTCCAATAATTTGATACACTGACCAAACGTAGGCTCAATAATGGTCCGTTGTATCCGTTGTACGTGGGTCTGTTATGATGAACATAAACTGCAGTATGGCACAAACTAGATGATGTTCTGGTAGCATTGTAAAACCACCTAAGTGCCTCAGCATTCTTGCTTGCACGAAGGATATTCTTGAGGAAGCTGACAGAATTGTGGAAACATGGTTAGGGCTTGGAACACACCTGCCTGAGTGCCGGACATTTCACCTGATGATTGGGCTTCAGTGCAAGAGGCCCACAGTTTGATGCCTATCGTTTGGACATTGTTAATATTGCTGTTTGTGTTTACCTTATCTACATATGCACTGAGCTGATGAATGTTACGCCTGTGTGTGACATCGAATCAGAAAGTCAATCACTTGTCCTTGGATGTGGTGCATATTTCGAGAGGCACATGGCTTCCTTTATATCACTTACTGTGCTGTAAGACGTTCCCCGTTACGCCACCGATTACCAAAGAGAGGGAAGACCACTCAACCCCTTGTCTATCCGGTTCCCTCTTGGCTATGTGTCTCAATCACTTCTCACATACAGGGATTCGTGCTGGGGCCGGGAAGTAAGAGACGCTACGACGCTTTTTTTTATGCGTGGGTTTAAGAAACGAGAGAAAAAATTTTGAAAGGACAGGGGTTCAGTCCGTGTTTGCGGGGACGTCACAATCCCTTCATCTTGCAGAAGAATTTTCCCAGCGGGGAAATTCAAACACGAGAAATGCGGGCGCATAGCGCCTTTGGGTTGCGCAGCAAAATTGAGACATTGCGGCAGTCCTAGGAATACGGTAAGCGAACACAGCACACTTGTGATTCAGCCCTGGCGGCAGCTCGTCGCCGAGAGGAACCAATCTGTGATTGTCGCTGAATCATCACCCACCACGAAGCAGTTTGATTCCGTGTTTCTAATGTGCACAACACACTTGAAACCTTCAGAATCACCGCAGAAACTCGTGGATGACGCGCGGACAAAACGCACACTGGTCACAGCTGCTCGTCGGATGGTTTGGCACGCACCGTTCAGTCATGTGTGCGGAAGGTTCACTGCCATGCGAGCACAACACACACTTCGCCTGCACTGTCCATTCTGGGCACAACCAAACAGAGGATACACACATTTCAATACGTTTTCATTCCACACATGCACAATGACCGAGTAGAAATTATAGGACATAAAATGGCATACAACATTGCGGACTCATATGACCCTAGCCGATCCCCAAGCGCTCAGCGTCTACCCGTATGCAGACCTCTTTCCTGACTCCGAGTCCCGGACCCTCGTTGGATGGTCCGAACTTCCACCTACTCAACTCAGTCGCGGAGTGAGGCATGTGCGAGGCTATCTGACAAGACCACCGCTGCGCATGCCCGGGTTTGCTGCGGTGTACATCGAGTGTGCTGCAGTTCTTCTTTGGCCCCACAAAAACTACCCTGTTGCGATCTAGGCATTCCTCAATCTCATCTACTCCCTCTAACGTACGGCCTACCACCGTGTCGGCCAAGACTCCGACAACTGCATCCTCAGGAAACCCATTCTCGTCCAACTCCATATCTGTTACTCCTACTGGTAATGCCTCATCGTCTCGTGGGACATTCGAGGTAGAAACCGCAGCTAAACCGTCTGTGCCCGCTCTAGCAACCTCGACAACTTTTGTTTCACCCAGTGGCACCGGCATGCCAGCGTTCCCCCCAAACACACACTCGCCCAATGGCGGAACATCTTCCTTGATCACGGAAATTACATTAACCACATCCCCATACGGCGAGCCGCGACTCGTTTTTAAGGAGCTTGTTTCCTCACTAATATTTACGACCCCGATTGACCTCTGATCATCATGAGGAGGAGATGCGTCTAGGTTTCCAGATTCGAATTTTGTCACCATCTCCTTGTCTTTGTGAATGCGGCTGCCGCCCATCGAATTCCACTTTCGCCGCCGGTACCGATACCATTCTCGCAAAAGTGACCACACCTGCCGCAGTTATAGCACTGCCGGGATAAGGGAGCTGCTTCGGGAATTTCTGCCAATTCTGTTTCACCTTATTGCGTACTGCCAAGCTCTCCACAAGTTTTTCGAGGCGGTCAAGGCGGCTCTGCATCTCATGAACATCCGTGTCCTCTTCTACGTATCGAACGGGTAACGAATGGCTCCAGGACACTTCCTCATTCTGGTCCTCCTTCGCCGCTATGGCAATGGCCTCGTCAAACATTTTCGGGTCCCGACTGAGAACAAATTTGCGGACCGGATCCCTCAGGCCTAATAAAAATTGCGAGAGCAATTGCTCGTCTAGAATTTCGCGGCGCAGTGAAGCTTTCACCGGATCCTGACTATCGGAGCTCGCCAGGGTGGCGGTCCCGAGGATGCGCAAGCGACTTGCAAATGACCTCACCTCCTCATCTGCCTTCTGCCTCGCGTTTAAAAACCGTTCCGTTTTAAAGATAAGTGGCTTCGTATCGAACCTTTTGAGGGCCAAATATTTGAACTCAGAAAAAGTTGAAGCCGCAGCAACGCCATCATCCCACCATGCAAAATCGTGCGCCGCGCCTACCATCTTGCATCGTGCTATGCAGACCAGCTCACTATACCGTCATCCACCCAAGCGACCAACTTGCTCCAAAATGTTCAAGAAGACCCCAATATTCGGACCCGTATCACCTCCCGTAAATGATGGAACCATGCCCGCTAACATTAACGGGTTCATTTCTATTGGGCCGTCTCTGTCGGTCATCTTGGTAGCCTGGTCGTTCATTTTGCTGCCTCTCCTTTCCTAGTACGAGGGTGAAATCTCGCACCGTTGCCCCAGCAGTAATCCCACTGCTTTCACCACTTGAGACGTCCCCCGTTACGCCACCGATTACCAAAGAGAGGGAAGACCACTCAACTCCTTGTCTATCCGGTTCCCTCTTGGCTATGTGTCTCAATCACTTCTCATATACAGGGATTCGTGCTGGGGCCGGGAAGTAAGAGATGCTACGACCTGTTTCTGTTTACTGATTCATTTAATTTAATACTAACTGCAAACATCGTATACCCGCGTACATCAACCAGTACACAAAATTATAACACATGATTTAGACACTCGCGACGTTCAATACAGGGCAGGCACATAAAGCAAGTAACTGCAACAATACAAGGGTACCTCAATACAGAGTAAACACAGGACGACACAAATGATAAAGTCAATAATTAATAAAACCGCGCAATGTCTCAATATGCCGCATCCCTTCCCGCAAAGCTCGTTTAAGTAAGGGAGGTGAAGTTAGTCTCACAGAATGTCCATGTAGTCGGGGCCTCGGAGTTGGCTGCTCGAATCGCGGCCGAAGGCTGGTTCTTGGCGTCGAGGTCTTATCTGTCCAATTCGTCAGCGTCTTCATCGTCTTCGTCATCGTCGCCTACGTCGTGCCTCTCAGTGATTTCCATCTTAGCCCTCTTTCCTAACGCTCCATCCACTCTCCTCCTATCCCTAACTTTCATTCCTCATCGTACCGTCCTTGCCTCTCTACCATCTCGAGCTCATCGCATCGTATATCTCTGACCCCCTCGTATCGTCTCGTAGTCCCTTTTTGTAGGACCTGACTCCGCCCTACCGGGGCACCAAACCAATCGCCACTATCGACGCAGCATATTTTTTTGTCAGTCGGAGTGTATCATCTTCGACGGCCGCCCCCGCGGTCCACACCAGTGGAAAACCCTCTCGCAAACAAAGCCGAGCAAGTAACGATGTACAAACTCAAGCCTCAGAGAGAGAGAGATGGGCGAGCTGTCCCAAGACACTTTAATTACGGGCAAACGATGGTCCCGATGCTTCCGGTACTTGATGAGCCGATGTCCAGACCAAGTCTCAGCATTTCCATGCGGCTCGGTGTCTCCCGCGAAATTCTCCGTAGCCGCCGCTTCTTCGTCATTCAACGCCGCGGGTGGCCATCTGCGCAGAACGCAGTAATGAGCCCTGGAGCCACGGAGGCTGACAAAAAGTCAGGTCGGACTCGGTCCAGGCGCTGCGACAGGGTCGCATTCCCCGAACCAACAAAAGGTGCTCCACTGCTCCCCCATGGCACAAATCTGAAGGGTGCGCGCGGATTACCTCCACCGTACACTGTCACACTGTCTGTAGACGACAAGGCGCCGCCCGGTCCTCGTGTTTGCGCGGGGGGGGGGGGGGGGGGCGAGAACAGTAGAAATAATTCTTCCGGTACTCCACTCCGGTCCGGAATGCCCATTCGTTACACCAAAGGTTTTCTTTTGCTTTTTTTTATGCGTGGGTTTAAGAAACGAGCGAGACAATCTTGAAAGTACCGGGGTTCAGTCCGTGTTTGCAGGGACGTCACACTCCTTCCATTGATCTCATGGCGGCGATGAAACAAGAGCAAGTGCTCGTTGTGTGCAGTGACTGTGCTAATACTTGATGCACCCCGATATGTTTGTGAACAAAATTTAGTTGGATAGAAAAGTCGAGTAGTAAAGTCAGTCTGTGATAACTATTAAGGGTGTTGGTACACCTAGGTCTATTCATAGAATTGAACACCATGTTTTCTTGTCGTCTTTTCTTTCAGCATTGAAGCAGCAGTTGGGGCCATTGCAGAGGTGAGTGTCGCTTTATCACTGAATGAATCAGTCTGTAAAATATTCATAGAATATAATTATAATAATAGATTATTTGACTGATGTACTAGGATAGATCTGTTAAGAATAGATACTATAAAGATGAGGCAACCAATTTAATTTGCTTTTTATCAGGAGGCAACAATAAGAATTGTTAAATTAGCAATCCTTGTTGTGTCTTGTCTTGTTGTGGTCATTTAAACACTTCAAAATCAACCGGTGTCCAAGTCCCCAGATACTTGCTACATTGTTTTTTTTTATTTGGTCGTGTTAAATTGAATTGAAATACAGGAACGTTCGTGAACTTTGATATAGGTGCATGTCATAGAACCCCATATGGTTAAAATTATTTCATAGGCCCCATTTTTTTAAATCTGCTCATTGTATCAGATAAAAGATGTCTCAGACAAAGATGACAGAAGATGTGGTGCCTTCTTTCATATATTCACCCTTGTGTCACTTTGCTAGCCACATAGAAGTAGTTGGTTATAAATATTAGAAATTGACAGTGCAAATTGAGCAGGCTCTGGTGTCTGATTCACTGTATTTACTTGCATAATTGGCACACATTTTCCCTGAAAATTCGGCTGCAAGTTAGGGGTACACCTATTATGTGGGGAAAATTTCCGAAAATTTTGTTTTCAACTACAGCATAGACCGTTGATAACGTATACATCGCCAAAGTCATAATTATCCGCACTCTTGCTGAAACAACCTTCTTCATAGGCTATACTAGCACAAAACGTGTTGAGCATGCAGTCTCTCGAGTCTGAGAATCGAGGCATGTGCCGCGGTGTGGATTCAAATCTTCAAAAATTAGTATCAGGAGAACCGCATGGCCAACGAAATGAACAAGGAAAAAAATAAATACATGAAAACTATGCATGAAAGCGCCGTCACGGAAATGCGCCGATTAAGTTTCAGGCCCCCTACTTATTCTCATCGTCACGACCAAAATTTTGTGCGCTAAATGGTACCGATCATTCGATTTCACGGGCTTTGCAACTCATATCCAAGACAATGCAATCGAATCGCGAACCAGCAAGTGCCGGCCAAGCCCCCTTTCTTTCAAGTAGAGCCACCGAAAAGAGTTCCTTTGATTCCGTACAAAACTGGACCTTCGATCGCCCGCGACTGCCACTGATAAGCACCAACTGTGATTAGGCCTAGCATACGGTTTGGCATGTTATCGCGAGAAGTTTGCACACAGGAAGGTTGGACGTTGAAAAGGTTGCACTGAAGCACTGATTCAAGAGCAGCGGGGGTACTACGATGTTTAGGTTTGCGGCAAGGAAATCAGTGGCGACAAAAGTCCGCTAAGATTGAGCAAATCGGTGTAGTGGCAGCAAAGGCGAAAGCTTGCGTTAGCAAGCTGAAAAGCTTTTAAATTTGTGGACGAATTGGCTAAGGCGTCAATGACGACACTTTTTTGACAGGAAACTCAGTGCGCACTTGACTAGAACGGGGTTGCTTGTTCCATGCGGTGCGCACACGGCTGGCTAGCAATCGGAGCCACGCCGGCGCCAGTGCAAAAGTTACTCCGACACCCGGCAGCCACCCTTCTTGCTCACTTGGGGAGCCCGCGTAGCTGGCGCAACACTGCCACAGTCATTTTTCTTTTTTTTTTTTGTTTCCTTGTTTCGGTTAACTAAGGAGGGTGTTTAATTGAAACCAAGCAAATAGGGTACAGAACTACAGATCACGGTCAGGTTCGAGGTTATGCCTATCATGCGCGAAAATTTTTAAAAAATCTGATTTCTCACGACCAAACTGGGGGTGCACCTGTTATGCAAGTAAATACAATATATTTAGTTCTATTCAATTTTGCTGTACATTGATTACTTTCAAATACAGTCAGCAACGGATTTTTCAGACTCTCTAGGAACGCCAAAGTCATAAAAAAAAATCGGGCAGTGCAAAAAACTGACTTATGCTCTATTATTCCGCACTAGCAGTCGAATAGCGACAGCCACATACAAAACGGCTTCAATGCCGGCCAGGACACCTCTCAGGCATTTAGGTATGTGTCCAGGCTCTCATGAACACATTTGGTATCGGCCATAGACCCCGCTTAACTACTTGCTACAGTTAAACCCCTTTTATAAGAAACACCGATGTAACAGGCAATAGGTGTGTTAGAGGCAGTGGCGCTGCATAGAAGCTGGCATTGATAATAAGATGCATTACCTAGCGGCCTGCTTATAAGAGACACCTCATATAAAAGGCGAGAATTGCTTCCCCGTGCGCGTCTCTTAGAAAGCAGTGTTACTGCCAATTGCAAATTTGCATGTTGTGGCAAGTGCCACTGGCATTAGCAAGGTGTGAAAAAAAATCGCAGGGCTTTCTCGTCGAGCGTTTGAAAACTATGATGCAAAACACAAAGGCATTGAAGAGCAGATGACTTTTCCAGCTTTCCCTGATGCACTGTTCTGCAGAAATCTTTGGTGACACGCCACATCTGCTGGCACGCGATGCCGACCGTTTTTAGTTGAGTGCAGCACGTCACCTACTAAAGTCAACACACTTGTGCCAGGGTTCTTGCTGTGTCAAGTGCATGCGTTTTCCTCTATGGCGTTCATTATGATAGGTTTAGTTATGACTTTCCCGCACAGCTCCCAACTTGACAGGCTGTGGCACTTGCGAACTGCTTTTTTTTATGGGAAGGCAAAGCGTCTGTGTAGCATACTTAGTAGTCTCACACCAAGAGATAGAATGAAGAGCAGCATGACATGTTTGGCTTGTCTTCTGTTAAGTGCATGCAGTATGCATGCCACTGTGCTAGGCTGCATTCTCTACTGAGCTGTTAGCTGAAAATCATTATTATAAAAAAATTTGCCCTGAATCCGCATGTTACACTGCATATGTCGTCAAAAGACGAGTCTTGCGTCTGGAGAGAGCGAATAAAACGTTTATTTGATGTTCTGCGCAAGAAAATTGGTGAATGGTATTCTGGAGGCGCTGCGTTAGTGCCTCAAGCGTGTAGCGGAGCCGAACGAGCCCATAGAGGCACGTTAGACACGAGCGTCATCTGGCAGTTTGAAAACGAAGGAAGGCGTAGGCGCCTGCGGAGAAAGATGCACGCTTGTCTCGTAGGTGATAAAGTGTAGAACGCAAAGCGACGGGCAGGTGCCACCACCATGTCGTCTTAGCAAAGCGTTGGAAGCACTTACCTTTTGAGCGTCGCGTTGCACTGTCAGCGCAGCGTGATAAACACTGCGGTCCTTAGACTTACTTGTGTGTGCCTTCTCTAGTATAAAGGCACACACACAAAAAACATCGACGTGTTGTTATGTTGCCTCTTATATGTGCAATAATTGCTTTTTAATTGACAATTGCACAAGTATGAACGCCGAATCTTGAGCAATATTGGTGGGCGCTGCAGATGGGGTTGGCCGTTTGGTGCCGTTTGAGGTATTGGTAAGGGCGAACAGACAGACATAAGTACAGACAGACAGATCAAATTTTTTTCGTCGAAGGTCCTCTTTAAAATTGCTAGCAATTAAGTTGTACTGGCGGCAATTAAGTTGTAAGTTGCTCCTTGCCGCCATGCTGTGCCGGGACATTGTCTGATATGCTTTACCCCTTCATACTTGGGTGCTGCAGCAAAGCTGCATTTCACATTCTACTATGATTCGAAACAGATCGACTCTCGAAAGTGCTGGTTCTCACCTGTGTGATGTTAGATCCAGCAAAACTAGGGTGCTTCAATATAATGCCGTTTGTGACCTGTAGTTCAGGCAAGAAGTCTGAAAAATTTGTACGTTCAGCAGAATGTCTAAAGTTTCGGACATTCTTAAACTTCGACATCTGTGGGACTTGCGACAGGGCTGTAAAAGCATCCAAATTTTCTAGCATGTCTGAAAAATCCAGCATCCAACAATCAACAGTTGACTGTATGTAAGGGGAATAAAAAAAATAGTGGACTTGCTGAAGTCTCAAAAGAGGCAGCAGTGGATTTTGGGCTCTTACAAGGCATCCTGCCACACAGGGACACCTGTTGCTAAGCAGGCTAGCAGTACAGATGAATCTTGGCCCAGTAATTTTTAGCCATTCAATAAAGAAGGGCTCAGTTTTGGAAAGCCATATAAAAGTTCATTGCAATTCACTATTTGGCAGATATCACTAGGTTTTGGTGGCTAGAGTTTTATGGTGTGTTGCACGGTTCGTGGAAAGATTTGTACCTAGGCAGAAAAAGGAGTTATTAGCGCAATATGTCACAGAGTGTATACTACACAGAAGCTAACATTCCTAATCTGCTTTTACTCTTCTTGTTCAAGGTCTTGCCATGGCCACCTCATGCAAAGCTCATGTCTCTGCTCAATTCATGCAGAGCACATGTGCTGTGTTTCATGAGGTGTCTGTGGACTGGTTCTCAGGGCACTATTCTTCAATGTTTGCAGGCTCGGCCCCCTGGCATCTACAAAGCTGATTACCTTCGAGAGCTGTTCAAGCGATATGGGGATGTTGATGAAACTCCTCCGCCTCCTCCTCGGCCCAGCTGGTGTGATGGTAAGCCTGGATTAACTCATAGGATAGCGTGTTAAAACAGTAGTAGTAGTAGTAGTAGTAGTAGTAGTAGTAGTAGTAGTAGTTGTAGTAGTAGTAGTTGTAGTAGTAGTAGTAGTAGTAGTAGTAATAGTAGTAATAGTAGTAGCAGTAGCAATAGTAGTGCACTCAAACATCGTCATAACCAAGTTGCATATTACACAAAAGTAAGTTCGTTATATCCAAAAATTTGTTTTAAATAAATATTCTTAACAATTTGACTATTGCAAGACTATTTTTCATTTACTTCATTATAATCAATATTTCATTATATCCAGGTTTGTTATATTAAGGTTTTCATTTATTTATTTATTTATTTATTTATTTATTTATTTATTTATTTATTTATTTTCAAATACCTTACAGACCCAACAGGGCATTGCGTAAGGGGAGCATAAAAGGAATACACACACGAATTGGTACAATTTCCATACAAACAATAACATCAACTAATTGTCAATTCTTATGCAAGTCTTAAGAGGAATAACAATGAGAAAATATTAATAATAATTTTAAGGAATAGAACGGCAATGAAAATCAGATGAGTATATGCATGAGATAATGATGTAAAACAAGCTGAAAAAACAAGCACAAATTGTGAGAAGACTTTCCATTATTCAAAAGAAAACATCACTGAATAATACACAACAGAACTGAATGGCATGTTAGTATTCAAACCATCAAAAAAAAAATAAGTTTAAAGTAAGAGGAAAAAAAAAAAGCGAGATACTAGTAGTGAATAAACGCGTAGGTGCCGATTTTGATATGAATAAAACGAGCAGTTATTCCTGGAAATGGGTCAGTAGAAGGGGCCGGAATTTTTCCCGATTGCTTTCAGCTACGATTTCATCTGGAAGGCTGTTCCACATGCAAATGACACGGGAGAGTGCAGATGAGTTAAAAATGTGTGTTTTACCGTATATGCGTGTGAATGAAAGATCATTATTCAGTCTCTTTGATGTGAATGCAGATGTTTGCAATGACATTGATAATGACCTTGTTTTATGTACGTATTTCTCAAATAATGAAAGGAGGTTTAGATCACGTCGGCTGCTCAAAAGGGAAAGGGATAAGTTTTTTTAATTTGTGTTATGCTTGCGCTATGATCGTAGTTTTGTGAGATGAATCTTGCGGCTCTATTCTGAATCGATTCCAGCATGTTAGTTAAATAGCTGTAGTGAGGGGACCAAACTGCAGAAACGAATTCTAGCTGAGGGTGAAGAAATGTTACGTAAGCTAAAGCACGTATAATTGTGGCCGTCTTACGTAGATTGCGGCGTATGTAGCCTAATGATCGTGAGGCGTCACTGCAGATTTTGGTGGTGTGGGTAGTCCAAGAAAGGTTAGATGTGAAGGTTACTCCTAAATATTTAAAAGAGTCAACACTAGATACGGGATTGCCATTAATAAAGTAAGAAAACTCAGAGTTAGAATGTTTGCGAGAGAAGAACGTTACTTTACATTTACTTGAATTAAGGGACATTAGCCAACTATGATCACAAGTACTAGTTATTGCTCGGTAAATTATACAGTCGTCAGTAAAAATGCGCACTTGTGAGGATAAATTACTTGGTAAGTCATTAATATAAATAAGAAGAAGCAGTGGACCGAGAACACTCCCTTGCGGCACACCAGAACAAATGTATGAAAGTGGGGATGAAAAATCATTAACAATGGTGAGTTGCTGCCGGTTAGTAAGAAAGATCCGTATCCATGACAGAGTTGATTAATTTATACACAAAGAAAAGAGTTTAGAGATTAAGCGGCAGTGAGCAACACGATCGAAAGCTTTGGAAAAAATCCAGAAAAAGACAGTCAATTTGCAAGTTTAGATCTAAGTGACGATGTAGGTCAGTCGTGAATTCGAAAAGCTGTGTTTTGCATGATAGGGCCTTTCTAAATCAATGTTGGTTTGGGAAGAAAAAGTCATTCTGCTCTAAGTGATTGTAAATATGGGAGGCGATTATATTTAGGATGACTGCCAGTTGGGCGTGCTGGTAAAGGTTCATGATGAAACAAGTGATTATATGCTCAAGCATCTTACAGCAGATGGATGTCAGAGAAATGGGTCTGTAATTTTGAGGTGAGTTTTTATTGCCGCTTTTAAACACGGGAATGACCTTTGCAATTTTCCAGTCATGTGGAAGCTGTCCTGTTGATAGTGATTGCTGAAAGATGTGACATAATATTTTACTCGAGGGTGAGGCTGTACTTTTTAGTATCTTAGTGTTAATCTCGTCATCGCTTGCTGACGTGGACAGTTTAAGATCATTTATTATAGATGCGATTCGGTCAACAGTGATTTCAATGGGCTGCAAAAAGGGGTAGTCAAGATCGGCTACATCGGGGACGTTTGTATGATCTTCAGTGGTGTAAACTGATGTAAAGAAAGTATTGAAAGCGTTAGGACAGTCTTGATCTGGAATGGGAATGTGGTCGTCATTTTGCAACATGATTTTGTTATCGTGACGTTCTGGGCACACTTGTTTCCAAAACTTCTTAGCGTTAGTGGTGAGCAGTGATGGCAGATCATGAAAAAAATACTTATCATGGGTGGCGCGTATCGCGGAGCAGTAGCTATTCAAGAAGTCTCTATACCTTTGCCATGAAGAAGCAGTTTGCACGCCTTTAGCCGCCACGTATAATCTCTTTTTTTATTTCTTAATCTGTTTAGTGATTTATTGAACCATGGATTTTGTTTATCATTTGTTATTTTGATTGTAGGAATATGTTCAGTAACTAATGAAGCTAACTTGTTTTTGAAGAGTGTCCAGTTGTCTTCTACAGATTGATTATGAAAGGATGGTAAAAGTACGCTCTCAAAGAACGAACATAATTCATCATTTATAACAATGTAATATCCTCTATTATAATCACGAATTTTTTTTGTTTTAGCTCCAGCGAGACGAAATGGGACGTTAAGAATCATTTGAATTAACCGGTGGTCGCTGAAGCCATCTATGTATGTTATATTTGATATAGTATTTGGTGCCGTTGTTAATAACAAGTCAAGTACATTCGAGTCACGAGTGGGTTGGCTTATGATCTGGGCTAGGTTAAAATCTAATGTTAAGGCAATGAACGCAATGGAGACATGGCAATTCGATGAAAGCTGCTTCCAGTTTATTGAAGGAAAATTAATGTCGCCAAATAAATAAACGAGCTTAGTTGGACATGTCTTAACAGCATGAGTTATGGTGCTTTGTAAGTCGCTTAGAAATGATGGATTAGTGTCCGGAGGGCGATAGCAGCAACCAATCAATAATTTCTCAAATTGAGTTCGGCAAACAACCCATACAATTTCTGTATTTGTAGCAGACGCCATTAGAAAAAAGGTTATTGCCTTTTGAATGCCTATAATTATGCCTCCACCCCTCCTGTTAACGCGATCGCAACGGTAAATGTTATAGGTATTTTGTAGGGGACTAATTTCATTGTCTGAAATATCTGCATGAAGCCATGTCTCACTGAAGATGATTATGTCAGAACCCGTGTCATCAAGGAAGGAACAGACCTGGTCGAGCTTTCACAGAAGGCTGAGAATATTAGTAAATGATATGGTGAGTGACGGTAAATTCTGAGGCTCAGGTGCCTGCTTGAATTCACAGGTGCGAGTACCACGCCTTAGCTATCTGCCTAGTCGCACTACGGTGCTTGTTGCGTGGTCGTACACGTATGTTACATCATCTATGCGCAATCTGTCAACAGATAGCTTAAAGAATTTTTTTTCTGGCCTTGGCGAATTCGATAAGCTTTCTTCTTGCCTCTCGTGTAGCAGGAGAGAAGTCTTCCCGAATAAAAAACTCGGACCTCTTAAGCTTTCTTGCTGCGGACAAGATGCGCTCTTTGTCCTTATACAAGGTCATTTTCGCAATGATAGGCCTCTTTTGCTGTAAGCATGTTTCCCTAGCCTGTGCACTCTTTCGAAATTTGTGCTGGATAAGTTAATGTCAAGCTTTTGTGAACAGAATTCCACAATTTTCTGCTAGGACAAAGCCCAGTCTTCTTCTGAGTGTAGTAGTTGTAGTGCAGTTGAGCCTATCTATCATGGCTTGTCATCGAGTGTCCTGCATAAATTTTTCCTACATCTCTGAGCAAATGGGGAATGAACAGAAGCAGCAGCAGCAAGAAAAAAAGAAAATTGTTGGTTTTAATGTGATGTTTATTTCTCAGCAAAAAAAAGCCAGTGGTGGTTGTCAATTTTTCTAGTGTAGTACGAATGAAGGCATTCATTGGTTTTTTAGTTGTCATCGTTATGGTGTCGTTATGAAGGGTCTTGTCAAGTGCCGTGTTTCCTTTTCTGCAGAGGATAACGAGGACCTAGACGATGATGGCAATTCACTGGGCGGCAATGGCGGTGGAGATGGACCCGTGCACACACGACGGAGACGGGAGTTCAACAAGAAGGTCTCTATTTCTCCATAATCGCGTAATCTGTTAATTCTAAGAGGTATAAGCCAGACTCAATCTGGAACTGCTTAACCGATTCGAGGCATGTGATAAGTCCTTGTCTCATCAAGGTTAGGGTTACAGAAAAGCGGTTTCATTGCAATGTTTAGCAAACGTGGTGTCCCCAAAAGTATTCCCGTAATGTGTGAAGTGCAATCAGAAAGTTTGTCATAAACGGTGTTTATTTCCTCAAGGCCCACCCTCACGTAACGCCCACACTGCTGCTTTGAAGCACTAAAATTAGCAGCAAAAACAAAGAACAATTTTGCAAAGTGCCATGGTTATAATTATACAGGCCCTAGCATACGCCGTCAGAAAAGCTATTGGTCTCAGTGCAGAGAGGTGTGAGAATTTATACCAGATTGCCTTCACCAGTATTTTATTGGGTGGAAACTGTCTGCATCTTTGCCGTCACTGTGAGGTTGCATATTAACTTCAAGAGCGAGCGCACCTTGGTATGTTCTATGTGAAATTGAAAGAATGCAAAGGCAGCTTAAAATCGATCCTCAAGTGGGGAGGAAACTGGAGGGCTTGGAGGAACAATCGCTTTTCTTCTTTTTTTTCCACCGGAATATGTGCCCATGGCACCCAGGCTATGTGCTTCTCTTTTGCCATTACATAACTTGAGATACTGTGCTTATAACTTGAAATATTTTTGGTACTCTGTTTGTGCTAGGTAAATAAATTAATGAGGTTTCGCTACACTGTCGGTGCATGTGGCGAAGCAGTTTTTTGCCGTCCTGTTAGCCCATTCTCGCCTCGGCCTCCGCTGGCATGCCTCGTATGCAGAACCCCACCTTCATGGAGGGTGTGCCTGGTGTGGAGCCCATCACCACTCAACCTAAACTTCTGCAAATACAACGAAGGTGTCAGGAGCTTTGCCACTGGGAGAGGTGAGCAGTTGTCCCCTTCTATTATTACTTCTTTGCATTTCTCACAACTCCGTTAATGGACCATGCTGCCGCACTCTGCATTTTTAACGCTGTTGTGTGCAGTGTGATGAAAGGAGAGGTGTTTATCCATGCAACTGTATCATGAAGAGAAAACCCTGGTTGACTTCGGTATAATGAAGTCTAAGTTAACGAAACTAAAACGTTTCTCCAAACTTCAATGCGTAACATTTCTTAGCATGCCCTCTTTCTCCCAGTTTTGTATTTTTCTCTGCAACGAAAATAGTGTTTATGAAATATATAGAGCTGATAAGTTAAATTTCTGTTGAAATTTTGCTGCAGTTGTGCTTGCTAGTGCAAAACACCGCTCTCGCAAACACGCCCTTCGTGTGTTGCAGTTCAGGCTTCCCTGGCAGCCAGCCCGTGTCCATGGATCGGGACAACATCAAAAAGTTGCAGAAAAAAGAGTACATGGTCAGCTGGAAAGCCGACGGAACACGGTGCGCCCATTGCTACAAACCTTGCATGTGCATTTGTTGTTGACTACAGATGGCTAGCACTCAGTCAATTTGTCGCGGTGAAGTAAATCTGTCAAAACTGTGTCGTTATTCTTTGGCAGAAGAAAAATCACACCATCTCCCACGAGTAGCATGTGAAACAGCACGTTGCTCGACAGCGCATGGCAGTTCTGTTCATCGTGGGCACCTTGCCCAATGTTAACGCGTCCTTGCAAGTGGAGCACACCATGAATTCGGTGCATTTTTCTTTGCGTTTATAGTCCCAAACTCTTGTTGAAGCACACTACATGGGAGCATGTGGGTTCATTGCGCGTTAGCAGAATCTTATTCTTCAACGCATCACGCGATCGCTGATAGGGTGTAAGGGGGAGAGGCCACAGCCTCCTATAGAACCGCTTTGCAAGCTCGAACGTGCTAGCGCATTCTGATAAGGATACAGCTCATCGATTCAACGCGCATCAGCAGTATCTTATTCCCCGATGCTATCACATGATTGCTAAGATAGTGATAGGCCGAAACGCGCTAGTGCGTGAGTGTGTTCTGGCAGTTCTTGGGCAAGCTGTTGCGCATGCGCAGTAAGGGTGGTTACGCACGCCGGATTGAGCTTTTCCATTAGCTGCTTTGCATCTAGAAGAATATTTACTTGGGCAAAAAAATGGAAAACACTTCTATTTCTAAAATTTGGTTAGAAAATCACAGTGCTGCGTCAGTTTTACAGGCTCAATATGAGAAAGCCTTTTAATAAATGAGCTTTTTTTTGGCACTGTCTAAAAAACTTTTCTTCTTTTGTTTCCCAGGCCCGTCACACAGTTCACTTGGAATGTAGTTTACTCCTCCTTTATCGATAGACATGTTGCGTAAAATACGCCACCATTGCTACATGCTTCCGTTTCAATGTTTACACAGCAGCCAACCCACAGGCCAGCAGTTTTTTTTGGAGAGTTAGATAAAAGACTGTGGACATTGTAACTGTGTCACCTTTGCACAAACACTTAAATATATATAAAAGGCTGTGGACATTGTAACTGTGTCACCTTTGCACAAACACTTAAACTGTCACTTGTTTCAGGCAGGGGAGGGGAAATGAAGCTCACTGTGACTTTCTTATTCGTTATCAAAAACAGTGAAAATGTGAAAAGAAAAAGCACGACTTGTTTTTTTTTTTATTATAGCAGTCTTCCAGGAACCATGCTGTCACTTGCGAATGCCACTTGTTATAACCTGCTGTTTACCGGGAAGCTAGGTTTCAGGGGCACTCAGCGCATGTGCCGTTTATTGCGAATGACATTTAACACACTAGGTGACAAAGATATTCCTTTGTGTTTTTTGTGTAATACACTAAGACCTTTTAATTCGGTCTCCATTAGTTTGGAATTTCGGTTAATTCGACTGCAGCGTCGAGTCCCGTCCAAAATGTGCATTGTTCTATGACTGAAAGCTTTCATTGATTCAGACAGATTTGGCCGCACTCCGGTTGATTCGAACTCCCGACTGCGGTCAGCTGTGAAAGCAGCAGTGAATTCCGCCGGCCAAATCGACGGCGCACCCAAACAACTTCGAGATCGATTGTGGCCTCCGAGATTTGAATCGTCTTTCAGGGGTAGAAACATAGTTTCATGCAATAATACCTAGAGAGGAATCTGGCGCTAGTGTCTACGCAGGCTCCTTCAGCAGCGCTTGTACCCCCATGGGAATTACGGGAAGTACAGGCTTCGGATCCGTTTCGGATGGATTACGTTCTTAAGATTCGCGATGCTGCTTTTCTGAGCATAAAACAACCTCATATGAGCTTATATTTAATTGAAACTTGATTCATTTATTTGTTCGCAAACTTTATTGCAAAAAGTTTTTGTGACCAGGCGGCAAAAGTGAAACGTGGGCGAATTCAACCGTCAGTGTATGCATTGCTCTGCCACTGCATTCCAAATTTGGCACAAAACTTTAATGAATTATTTTTAACAACACTTGAAAACAAACATGCTTGTTTTTCTCTGGAAAGTATGCATTATCTATTTATAGAAATAACAGTACAGTAGTAAGTAAGAAACGCTTAATGTTTCGTCTTCTGCAATGCTAGGTGCGTCTGTCCAAGTGGTCTGCCCCCAACGCACCTCTAGTTTGTTGTGAAGTCGAGTCAGCGGCTCGAGATGGTGTGTTTACTTAGCTTCGTCATCGTTTCGAAGTAGATATAAAACGAGTTTAGGCAAGACGCGTTCGTGAAAAAACATGAACTCGATGCAATATCCTGCACTAGCATGAGACGCTACATCTATGCTCAGTGGTGAGTGGATGATGCCTTGTTTAAACCCTCAAATACGACTCGCAAAGCTTGGAATGTTGCAGCAAATCAAGAGACCTAGCGGTCATCAGCATCTTTGAACAAGAAAGGCGCTGCTTCAGTGCTTTGCACCCCACTCCATTACCCACGCTTCGTGAAGAACAAAAGTGAAACTGTAGAAAGTAGTTTGTAGACTGTCCGCTAGCTAACCCTACTCATACTGAAGCCTGTACTTCCCATAATTCCTATGGAGGTACACGATCGCAGCAACAGATTCCTCTCTAGGTAATATTGTATGAAACTCTATTGGTATAAATTAGCTTTGCATCTCAGAGGCACAACCCCCCCCCAACCCACATGGCACTGGTTTACAACCAACATGAAAGACAATGCATCGCTACTGTCATCAGCAACAGGCAAACGAAGGAGTTTTTCTCTCTTTTTTTCTTGTGCGTCCAACACGTGTGTGTATCGGCCGAGTCAAATTGTTCATCTGTACTGTGCCGTTGCTCTTAAATTATTATAGACGATAGTCTTTCTTGGGTACCTTCGACGCAAAAACTTTGGTCTATCTGTCTACATTTGTCTGTTTGTCTACCTTTAACGGCACCTTAAACAGCACCAAAGTGACCAAACGATGCTCCAAACGGCCGACCCCATCCGCAGCGCCCACCAATATTGCTCAAGGTTCAGGGTTCATGCTTGTGTGATTGTCAATTAAAAAGTAAATATTGCACATATCTGAGGCAGCATAACAACACGTCAATATTATGTATGTGTATTTTTTACTAGAAAAGGCATACATAAGTAATTCTAAAGACCGTAGCGTTTATCACGCTGCGCTGGCCATGTAACACTTGCACGAAAAGGCGCTTCTAACGCTTTGCTAAGATGACACGGTGGTGGCACCTACCTGTCGCCTTGCGTTCTACACCTTATAACCTCAGAGACGGGCGCGCACGCCACGTGCTCTATTTTTCAGGATGACTACCAGATGGCGCTCATGTCTCACGTGTGACGTGACGTGATACGCTCGTTTGCCTCCGCTGCATGCTCGAGGCACTCTAACGCGCAGCGCCTCCAGAAAACCATTCACCGATTTTCTAGTGCAGAACATTGAATAAACGTTTTGTTCACTTTCTCCAGATGCAAGACTATCGTCTTTCGACGACATTTGCCGTGTAACATGCAGATACGGCGCCATTTTTTATCTTCCTGCAGGATCAGTGCCATCTGCAGCCTTATTTGCTTGTTTTCAAAAGTTTGAGTGTTTATTTTTTTGTTTTGTATTGTCACCATGCTTCCACCGTTTTTTATTCACCAAACTCATTGTCTGCTTCGTGCGTGCGCGTGTCTCCACCACACAAGGGGTACAGGGATGGCTTCCCCTGCATCTCCTGCTGCCCTAGCCGCCCCAATGCCAGCAGCGAAGCGGACGAAGTACATATCTAAGCATTTGGCTGCGAAGAGGAAAATATTGAAGGTGTTGCAAGCCGGAGCATCTCGAAAAAAAAGTCACAGAATAGTTTAACGTGAGGAAAAGCACGCTGAGCAGTTACGTGAAGAAGGAAGACCAGATTATGCAAGTGTACGACGGCGACATGTTTGGGAATAAGAGGAAGAGGCTTCGAACGGCAATGCACCCCAAGCTAGAAGAAGCGCCGTTGCACTGGATTGCCGTTTCGTGCAATGCGCATTTGACTTTGAGCAGCCATCTGCGCACAAGCAGAGAAGTTCGTGCTGACCATGAACATTCACTTTTTAATGTTTCGGAAGGGTGGTTCGACCGCTTTAAGAAGTGACACGGGCTGTTTTTCCGCAACGTGTGTAGTGAAAAAGGTGCCATTGACGAAAGAAAAGCAGCGAAGAGCAAGACGGCCGCTATGTAAGCATCCTGCCAGCTGATGTGCCCTTTGGCAATTACGTTGCAATGGACAGCGATATTGCCGTGGCCAGCACACTGACCGACAGTGTTATCGTCGCTGAAGTCTTGGATGGCGAAGGGGTATCGACTGGCGAAAACCCAAGTGATGCAGACAAGGGTCTACACCACACAATGACTGAGGCTAAGCATGTGCTGGCCATATTAGAGGACATATACATGGGTTCTTCGGACAGTGTGCGCAGACTAAGCCAACTGCAAAATCTTCACAAATTTGTGACTTCTTCCACATCACCTTTGTGAAGCAAACTGCGATCACAGATTTTTTTTAAGAAATAGAAGTTTGATGGTGTAAACGAAATCTTTAAAGTGTTCTGTTTGTACTCACGATAATTAGTCATCATCATCATCATCAGCCTGACTGCGTCCACTGCAGGACAAAGGCCTCTCCCATGTTCCGCCAGTTAACCCGGTCCTGTGCTTGCTGCTGCCAATTTATACCCGCAAACTTCTTGATCTCATCTGCCCACCTAACCTTCTGTCTCCCCCTAACCCGCTTGCCTTCTCTGGGAATCCAGTTAGTTACCCTTAATGACCAGCGGTTATCCTGTCTACGCGCTACACACCCGGCCCATGTCCATTTCTTCTTTTTGATTTCAGCTATGATATCCTTAACCCCCGTTTGTTCCCTAATCCACTCTGCTCTCTTCTTGTCTCTTAAGGTTACACCTACCATTTTTCTTTCCATTGCTCGCTGCGTCGTCCTCAATTTAAGCTGAACCCTCTTTGTAAGTCTCCAGGTTTCTGCTCCGTAGCTAAGTA